TTCAGTCCACCCTTTTCCAGACTCCTCTGCCATTTGAACACTTTCTCCTGTAGTTCTACGTCTGAATCTGCCATCAGTGCCACATCATCAGCAAAGATGAGTTCCGACTATGAGAGACTGAGGAATAAAAAATGTTGCCCAGCAAAACCTAGCCCAACTGCCTGAGTGATTGTGAATCCAATTGTTAGCATTGAATGGTGACAATGATTATCATGTCATATGAAACCATGTGTCTTCTGCTTTCTTTGCCGAATTTAACAATGTTGCTTTCACAAACAGTGAGGCAGTCTGCTGGGTCAGTTTCCAGCTTTGTGAAGAGTGGTTGGGTTTGCACAACAATACATCTGCTAATTAATTTCTAATCACCTACAGTACCTGAGACTGGGGCTCTCCCTTTTCATGTACTTACTCTATATATTAATTGACAAGACTGACATATATCTTGAGAATGTCTTAAAATACAGTATGTTACACACTTGTTAATGAAGAAGTATGAACGATCCAGTTTTATGATGTGATTCCTTTCTATTGTGCTGAGCTGTGTTATTTATTCAGGACTGATGTACTGTACCAAGCTGTGCATTAGCTGTGGCTTAAGCTCTTCATAATACTAACTCTGCAGTGTCAAAATAGGCAATCAGACAGAGAGAATGTTTTTGGCAAGATATGACAATGTTTCTTTGGTATTCTAAGGTCAATGTGACTTGTGCTGAGTAGGAATTGCAAAAAAGTTAGTGATGGTGTTAGTGTATAAAGAGAAGGAAATGAATTAGTAGGTCTAAATGAATATAAGACATATCAGAAGACCTTCACAGAACATATTTGCTTTATGGCCTTACTTTGTCCAGTGCAGAACAGTTTTCCAATCGTGTGGAAGGCCATCTCCATTGGCATGTCTTGGGTGTCTCCTAATCTCACCTCTCTCATGGGCAGGGAGGCCTTGTCAGACAGGTAGCCTTCATCTGAACGCCACACTTCGTCATTAGCATCGCAGTTGCATGTCAGCAATCCAAGATCACAGTCACCTACAGATACAATATGTATGCACACACTCTACGTACAGTTGTTTTTCACATTATGCATTTAACAGTACCTATTATATAATTATAAGGAATATTTCAAATATATAAAATGCATTTTATGCATGCACACTATATGCTGTTTAGAATGTACTGTACGTACGTGCACTGAAACATGCAAAGCTTTTTATCATTTTATCCTTTTTATCATCCTTACAAAATTACCAATTGCATGGAAAAATCTTTTTCTCTTTTATACTTGTGAAGTCACTAAAAATACTTTCATTATTGTCACATTATTAATCGTATCAGCCACATTTGTCAAGTAACACATAGTGTTTCTCTGCCCTTTTGGATGAGCTTGGAACACAGTTCAGGGATTCTTAACAGAAATAAGAGGTAAAACGACAATAAGAGTTAAGAATCCCCTGATTTCAGTGGTAGAGAATGACCTTTTAACCAGTATTACCTCTCTCTCCACAGGCACATTTCTTACTGTCCGTAGATGTGCCGCCCCAAGAGTTCATCCTACGTCCATCCCAGGATACCCACCAGCCCCACTCCTCTCCCAGAAACCGAGTGTGGCGACATTCCAGCTACGCAGAGAATTGTGGGAGGTCTGTGAGAATTCTTCAGCAATAAAGGATTGTCTGGACTATTGAAGGGACAACTGCTAGGAGGGGGTGTAGTCCCTTCACTCTGTTAGCATATATTAGGGGGGACTGGAGGAGAAGGGAGTACCAAGAGAAAACCCACACCAACGCAGGTAATACAGTACGTGCAAACTCCAAACAGGCAAAGGCACTTCTAGCACTCGGAAGGTTTGAGGCAGTACTGGATATGCTTTTGGTAATGGGTTCTAATGGCTTTTCTTTCATCCCCACCAGGGCTGCCAATCAGCTTGACTCACTGCTACAGCTCAATCATCATACCAGCAGGGGAGAACTGAAAACATACAGTATGGGCCTTCCTGTGAAGCCCTCTTAATAAAAAATGCTGACTCCACTGTTTGCAAAATTCTCTTACAAAGTCCACATGCAAGCTATAAAGAATCAACAAGGATGTCTAGATACACCTCCTGAAAAGTTTGCACCTTTTGTACGTTGTGATCTAGGGAACTGACAGGCGTAGTTATAGCATGTCGCTCAGTGTAGCATGAGGAAGGCTGAACTTACTTTGACGAGTTGAGTGCAGGATTCAGAGGCCTGAATCAGAGACCTCAGCTGCAGCAGCGATGCCTGCCTGTACGTTATGTGCCTGGAGTAGCAGCCAGCCTTCTCGCAGGGAGAGACTCGTGTACGGCTCTCTGAGTCATGGCCCACCACGGTCACACCTGAGAAGCAAGCCTTGGTGAAGAGATCGTTTGTTTCCTGGCTTTTCTTTGTCTCTCAGATTTTCTCTCTTTTTGAATTCAAGCGGATGGAGATCTTGCTTTGATTTCCAGTCAGCTGCTACATTCCCACAAAAAAACAACAACTTTATTCTAACCACTTCTTCTAATTCAGGATCGCAAAGCAGCTAGAGCCTATCCCAGCAAGCAACGGACTCAAGAGGGTATATCTTTCCGAGAAGCCAATTCATCTATGGAGCAAACCTACGTGAGCATGGGGAGAACATATAAACGCCACACATATAGCACCCCATGAACCCAGGGCCCCAGCGCTGCAAGGCAGCAGTTCAAACCACTGTGCCACAATAACACCCACAATATATTGATTTGCAGCATAAACAGGGGACTGTATCCAAGCCTTGTTATAATGTAAAGCACCGTCTGGCATTTGAATATCCCTGCTTTTAGATGGATTTGCCACAATAATTAATGAAACACTTCAGGAACCTGAACCAAATTACTAACATCTTGGTGTTAAGTAATAGGGCTGGTGAACATCTGGAGGTGAGTTCTGGCCTTGACTCCCTGGCCACCAAGGACCTACTACAAGGATGGTGACAGGAGAGGAGAGAAGCAGGGATGACGCTCTGTCTTCAAAGTTTATTTCACAACTCCAGAGAAACTGCAATATTTCAACTGGTAAGACTGCACAATTTCAAATGGTAAGACTACAGATTCTACCGTGATTTATGCATAGTTTGTAGTTCATTCTCATTAAGACAGTGTAAAGCACTAAAATAATTCTTATGTATGCTGTAAGCCTACAGAAGCTAAACAGACACACTTGCTAATCCTCTCTTATCCAAACAAAATTAACCCTGTTAAGTCAGTCACTTAAGAGGGGATCGCACCATCAGCTCGTAGAGAGTTCATGTCACAGAAGACAGGGAAGGGCTCGACTCCCTGGTCCTCCCCATCTGGGTCAATGACATAGGTTCCAGATTCCAGGACACCGGCACTCCTCAGGATTGAGCAGGTCTCCATAACTACAACAGACAAACATGCTCACACAGCTCTCATGTCCAGGAGAGCACCTGTAGTCTGATGCAGCTTTTTTCTGAAACAAGCTAATTGGACAGCCTGAGGTCACAAATGTTCAAATATATATAGGTGCCACTGTAAAGTAATGATATAGAAACCAAAATAATGCATATAATCATAATGACAAAATGGTAAATGACAAAACTGGTGTTAAATATATTGTACTGAAAACAATGCCTTCAGACTCAATGCTTGCAATTAATACATTATTTCTAGGATGATATTTTAAAATAACTAGTAGGAATATCCAATAATGTTTTAAATTCCAACTTCATATGGGTAAAACTACTCAAGACCAGAGGCCCATAAAAACATTTAAAACAAGTATAAGAAAAAGAGTTTGATCCATCATGATGTCAATTTTTTTTATCTTTTTGACCACTTCTCTGCAAGAACCCTACAACAAAGCAACCACTCTGTCCTACCTATAAAATGTCTATAACGTCAACCCTGAAGGCTATCCACTGCTATTTTCTTTGGCCCAGGTCTGTGTGCTGACCCCGGACACAACCATCTTGATATTAATTCTCAACACAAATTTGAAACTGCGGTCAAATTCAATTAAAGCTTTCCTGTTTCTACGTTATGCCAAAAGATGGATTTGCTCAGCCTTCACATGTAATAAGTTATATGCCTTGGATTTACCTGGTTGGTAAGTCCAACTTTTTTGGAGCAGCAACCTCCTTTTGTAATATGTCCCAGTGAAGTATGGGGCTGGAAAATGAACTTTATTTCTCAGCAACACACTCGCACAATTGAACATTGTTGCACAAGTGTTAGATAGACGTAAGAGTCTCTGTACTTAAACGTATAATAACATTAGTGGTGGATATGGACACATCAGTATGCCATGCCATGCAAAATGACCTAATAATAAACTTTCACAGAACAATCCTGAGTCTCATGTCGTTCAGTTCCTACCTTGACAGTGGACGGCAGCTCTTTCTGTTGTACTACATTCCCGGCCCCACTTAACTTCACACTCATCCAGGGAGCTTTCATCCCCTGAGCATTCCACATAGGACACAGTCACAGGAGGGTCACGTGCTTGTGACTGGACCCTACAAATTGGAGAAAGATTCATGTCGAAACACCAAGGCTTTCTGTCCATGCATGCTCAACACCACCAAAGGCTCAGGTTGGAATGAGCTCACTTCTGTTGGAGGACATTGCGATATCATAGATTCTTAAAAATAGCTTCTGTTGCAACAGAGGAGAATGTGAGCCCCTTTGTAGCCTAAAACACACCAAATCTCACTCCTTTGCTCAACCAGCGAGGTATTGTTTGGGTCCTGCTAATCGAAGCCTTTACAAACAACAGGGGACAATTACAGCATTAGGAGGCAAGATAAATGTATTTCTGCACATTATAAAAGTGTTGCAACTGTTGTGTGTATCCAAATCTATAATTGTTTGATACCTTTATCTTGTGATTTCATTCAGAAATCACACCAAATATATGCTATTGTGCTGATTCTTATGTATTTAATGTATTCTATAGTAGTGTAGACTCATTGTTATCACAGACAGAGTGATACATCCCTGTACATCATTCAATTGAAGATGGCAAGCTGGTGAGGCTTCCTGTGGTATATCTACATAGTTTTTAATTGACTCTTTTGCTTTTCTTGCTTAAGGGCATCATGTTGGTCAGTACTGACTTTTTATTTAGTCAAATCTTTTCAGCTGGAGTGTAGCACTTATACATAAACAGAATCAAAACCCAGAGTATTTTCTTAGTTACCGCTAAGCAGTCCATTCTAAGAAGAAAATTCTGGTTTAAAAATAAGAACAAGTCCTTCTTTTTTCCACCTAGTTCCTGTCATGTTTTTGTAAAACGTAGGGCTATAAAAAGATTTGTAATTAATTTTGCCTCCAACTAAAAGCATTTTTTTGTCATTTCCTGTGTTAACAGACAACACTGATGCTTCACAATTCTGACTTTGGAGATCGTGAGTCAGCACATTGAAATGTGTTTCTTCTGAACAATACAGCCGCCAAATGGTCACCATTGTAGTCAAATACCTGTACGCGATGGCGGCTCCAGGGAATCCCAGCTGTCGGCACACCACTGTCGCTTCCCTTTTTTCCCACTGCTCGGCACACACCCTCCCTAGCGCTCCACCGAAAGCCATTTCCACGAGCCCTTCAAACCGATTCCTGCCCCCTCGCAATCTAACACGGCCTGGAAGACCTCAAAATTTAAAAAAAGACCACGCACTCAGAACCTCGGAAAGAGCTTGACAAAATATTGTGCTCAAAATATTGAGCTAGACAAAAAATAGGATTGTGTTCATCCTATTTTAACTCCATGAAACAGAGTTTTAAACAGAAGTTCAGAAGGAGGTCAAACCCTAACCTCCTCCACTTCTTCCTACCTACATCTACTATAGCACTCTTCTTGCCTCCTTGCTTGTGCACGCCTCATCCTCACCCTCCTTAAAGCAGGGGACGGAGGGAAGAGAGGGGAGCAGTAGCCCTATTCTTGCAGATGAGTTGTCATCTTCCTCCTCCCAGTGTGAGTTACCTCAATAAAACTCACTATTCAAATCATGCCTCTTCTCTAACTCTACTAGACTTTGACTGAACTACTGATTGGAAGAAAGAACTGGGCAGGTACACATAAACTCACTGTAACAAAAAGGAGAATACAAGTTTGTAAATTGGCTCCAAAAAACGTGAGTACATTAAACCAAAGTCCATAATAACCAGGTTCAGTATGAGAAATGGGAATATCATGCATTTTCTTTTTACAGATTTTTTACAGATCTATTTAGAACACCGGCATTGATTTAAGTCTTCAGTTTATCTAATAACATAATAAATATATCAAATTGTTCATGACAAGCGTAATTGTAAGCATTTTATTCACAATCGGACATTACAATAGAATTTCTATTTTGTGTTTTGTAATGTTGACTACTCCATCACCCTTTCAATCTTTTGAATAATTATAACTATAGATCCTGTAATTAAATATTATCTAAAGAAGAAATTGTTTTAGAAAAGATGATGTAAAGCCACAAATTGAATTTACAAGGCAGTACCCAAAGCCTGAGTAATTCACATGTGTTTTCAATACAGTGTCATGAAAGCCTATCCCATGTTACAAATTAGAAAAAAAATGTTCTTTTTCCTATTAAACTGATGGATTATTCACTTTTTCACCATTGCTTGGCACCTGGAATAAGCTCAAGCTTTTGGGCCATTTTCTTCCCTTTGTAACACAATATATTTCCTACCCTTTTAGCTTTTCACTGAAAGGAACAAACACACTAATATGCTCTAAGTACGTTACAGTGCATTAACTGTAGTGTTCACTTCACCATCTTGAGTCGACATTTGAACTTTTTTTTAAGTTACTGAGCGGATTTACTTGATGGAGGCTTCACTGAATGAAAGCGGACTGAAAACCCATCAAGCTCCACAGAGGCGTCCGATCTCAACTGCACCGTCATGGTGTTGGATGACGATCTGAGTGGAGGAGGCAACTGCGACCCACAAAACCTGACAGACAAAACAGTAAAAAAAAATTACATCAACAGAAGCGATTACAATGAACTGTCAAATCACTGCCTGGTGGAGCCCAGTCATTACTGTAAGTAATGGCTGGTTCCCAGTATTTTTTCTTTTAATTTAGGTCTGAGAACTGTTTCTCATCTTGTTAAAACAATCTATTTTAATGCAAAATTTAGATGGGGGAAGAAGTTCATCCCACAAAGTGAAACTGATATGCTGTTCTGGAGTTACCTACCATTGGTTTTGCCTGTTCTTGTAAAAGTGAAAACCTGAGACCCCCTTTACAAGTTCCTATCAATGATTAGGAACTATAGGGGTTTTCACTGTGTAGCAGATCAATCTTTATCACAGACTCCTGTGCTGAAAAGATGTCACTCAATCAATCACCTCATAGCAACAGTCATAAACCATCCCAAATGTCAATTTCATTCCTTCAAGTTTTGCAAGAGCTGAAAATGACAGTTTGGCCTTAAGAAGTCTTTTGTTGAAACTGTATCTGCTCTTATGAAGAAAATCAAGTCAGAAGAAAGAGAATAAGGAAAAAGTGGTCAAAAGTAAATGATTTTTTTGTGGGGTTCATAACGTTTTATGTCAGTATTTCCATGTTTTGTAATTTGAGTATTTTTCTGTATACTGTATTATATTTTCACTCATTTTTAATACCACTGTAGGTATAATCCATTTTTCTCTCCTCTTTTTTTGTTGTTTAGCTGAGATGGCTGACTTTCGTCTTCTTTTATTTTTTCCAGCAAAGCAGTTTTCTGAAAGCGAAAGAGAGGACATGATACTGCGTAGTGTGTCAGCATTGCACTGGTCTTAATGCACAGTGCTTTAGCCACAGGCTCCCAGGCATAGTGCACTGCAGATTGAACTGCCTTTTGCACAATCCTGACAGTTATCTTTAAAACATCTTTTCTACATCTTTTCCTTGAATTGGCTGTCAAAATGAGAGGTAGCAAAAAATACATGGAAAGAAAAACAGAGAATCACACTGAATAAACTTGATGCCAAAGTAAGGAAACAACAGGGGAAAGCAAGTGGTATATGAACATGTCCCTGAAGCCCACTTGAAAATGGAATTTAACCAATTAAAAGAGTATACATTCCAGTATCCCAGTATGTATCCCAGTATCCCAGTATACTGTATGTCAGTGAAATTCGTCATTAGATTTTTTATGTTCTGGCTGACTTTAGAATCTCAGTTGTCATCACTGTTACCTGCCTAGCTCCACTCCCTCCTCTCGTTTGCCATCAAAGACGGTGATGAAGTCATACTGGCAGCCCTTGTGCTCCTCCAGCGCCATTGAGTGAAATGCCAAGAGAATGAGGTGCCCAGGAGGAGCTGTGACCTCCCAGGTGCAGTCCATATTACTCGGGTATGACTGAGGAAAACCAGGGCTCTGGAACTCCCCCTTATCTCCCTGTAGCACACCTCCACAGGACACTAACATGCATAAAGCAGAAAATTAATACAAGATGAACTATCTGCGCTTCAGAATTCTGTGGAATAACACAGCAGTGCAGTGTTGTGATTTGGTCTCTACTCCCACTGCACAGGAAGTCAAAATCAATAAAAAGAGTTTTTTTCCTCAAACAGGTTAGATCATAGTCCTCATGGGAACTGTGCCCACCTTTATGAGAAAAATGGCATCAGTTCAGCACTAAAGAAAACTCACTTTCAAATAAAATATCCATGGAAGAATAAAAAACAGAAGTTTAAAGACATTAATATAATGGCACATCAAAAAAGCTGTAAATCCTTTGCTAATGGGGTTGTTTACTGATTTCCAAGACAAGGTCCAAATATAACATAAAGTGAAATTAAAAGATTGCTTTTCTCAGACAATGGGCTTTACACAGCCAAAACATCTGACACATGCTTGAATGAGAACTCTCTCACTCCGATAAACCTGTAGCAAGCCTTATTCTTTTCCCAGTGGGCAAAGTGTCAACTCCATGGAATACAGCCCAGCAAATTCTCTATTTGGAAAATTAGACTCATTATGTACAATTGAATGTGCTGTTTTAGGACTCCAGACCACTCTCTAAACTGGTCTAAACCTACCTGGTGGCACCTCAGAGCTGCCTATAACTGTGGTGGCTTCATGCTGTCTACCAGTATCAGTGAGAACTGTTACAGGTGTTTTCTCTGGATGGTCAGGTTGATCAGTGGCAGAATTTAAATCTTGGACAGGATCGTGGCTTCTTGGATAAGAAGGAGAGGTGGCTGTGACGTGAAGCTCTTTCATCTGGAGTTCTTCCGTGGATGCTGTGGACATTAAGTGAGCACTGGCTTTAGAGGGGTTAGTCAGTATCTGGCTTACTGCTGCTGCCTTCATCAGTGCAGGAGATGAAATGTAAGATCCTTCAGTCTGTGCCACAGGAGAAAAAGAAGTAGTTTGAATTTCACCACCTTGTTGAGCCATGTGTATGGTTGTGGTTGTGTCCAAAGACATGGTTGTCCCTATAGATGAGGGTGTAGCACTGGTGGTTGCCATCCATGTACTATGCTGAGATGAAGAATACACAGGGGTCACTGGGTGTTCATGTTCTTTAAATGTCTGTGCTGTGGACACTGAGGGTATGTACCCAACCTTGTCTGCAACAACAACAGATTTATGCAAAAACTGCTCGGCTGCTGAGCCTAAGCCATTGTCTTGGCCAGTTCCAGTGGAAAAAACATTTTCTTTTTTGCGATCGATCTGTTTTGTAGCAGCCCTAACATCATGCATGCTGCTGTTCAAAAATAGTCTGTCAACATGGTCAGACCTCTTTTGGCTGAACTCAGGGTTTTCTTTATTAATTGGAATGGATTTAACTGTTATCATTGGATCTTCAGTCCACACTTCGTCATACTTTCTAGCAGCATGTGATGAATGTTCCTGATGTACAAGAGCAGTCATTTTATTAACTCCCTCTTTTACACTTGTTCCATTAACTCCCTCTTTGTGATGAACATTAGCTTCACTCACTGTAGTTATATTCTCATAGTGATATTTTTTCTCCTCTTCTGGGGAACCAAAAGTAAGATTTACTTGTGGTTCATCTGGACTTAGGGCTAATGTGGCTCTGGAACTCTCTGTATTTTCATCAGCAGTTGCCATGGATGTTAAGTTAGTAATTGGTTTCTCTAAATCCTTAGTGATTATGAGAATACCATTTACAATAGGTTTGTTCTGATTGATGTTCTTTTCTGTGGTGAAGCCAATAGCGTATTGCTTTCTAGTGAGACTGTTGAAATTAAACAACTTTGACTTTTCTCCGTGTGAGACATTTGATTTGTGCTTTTCTTTATTAACATTTGTTCCATTGACAATACCTTCATTTCCATGAGCATTTCCTGTTTTTTGTGTGTGCTCTGATTCCAGGTTTTGTGAAATGGTACGGCTACCAGCCATTCTGTCCTTGAGATGTCCAGCGGTAGTCAACTTAAACACTGGAGTCTTTGTTGGTTTCACAAACTCAAATAAACTTCTTTCAGAAAATGCTTCTTGTCGGTTAGTATATGTTTCTGTTGTCTGCCTTTCATTAGATACAGCAGCAGATGTTACCTCGCGCAATTCTGGTGAGGTATTAGGCTGATATGATGACATTGAGAACATCGTGGTTGTTGTGTAAGTGCTTTGATTGATATCTTTCCTCGATGAGGGATGTATAATATCAATATTGTCACCCTGTGTTTGTTCCGCGTTATCTTGCTTGTACAGTCCCTGTGTAGGCAGTGGAAGAGCATGTGACATTAGAGAATCAGAAACAAAGGACGCACTCACAGTTCTGAAGGGACCCACCAGTTTGACATCTGTTATTTTGGATTCAGGCACTGCATTATGGGGGGTGGTTTTTAACTGTACAGAAAACAGAGGGGACCCGGGCATTTTACTGCTCAGGATTTCAAATCCCTCAGTTGCCTGCTCTACTTCTGCAGCCCCTGTGATTGCGTCCTGAAGCAGAGGTTCCATTGTTTGCCTCTCCTTGATGCTTGATGCCATTTCCTGATTTCCATCATCGGGAATGTTAAATGGTCCATCTCTTGCTCTGGTTAATCCATTAGAACTTTCAGATGAACCAGATCTCATGCCATTCAAAGTTGTTGTAACAGGGCTGTTGTTATTAAAGCCTTTTGGATCCCTTCTGGTCCAGGAGTTTCCAGTGTCTGCAGTTTTAGTTCCCGTTTTTCTCCTCCTCAATGTACTTGTAATTGTAAAGTAGCCACCACTAACATTTTGAATTTCAGCGTTTTCGCTTGCTGCTGAGCTCTGTGCTGTTGGGAAAAACGTCGGGTAAACAGAGCAGTTGTTGTCTTCTTTGTAGCAAAACACATCCCATCTCTCTAGCAGGTTTTCCCTAATTCCGTATGTGATGATGCCTGTGTGATTCTGGCCACAATTCCAGTTCTTGTGAACTCGAGGGTAGGCCACCTCAGCCGATGAAATCCACCCAGCCCTGCACTCTTCCAGCCCCTGTTGATACGCGGTAAACAGCTGCATTCTGTCAGCTAGTGAGGCTGCAAAGTCCTTTTCGCAGGCTTCTTTAGCTTCCTGGAACGTCAGGTTGTAGCGAATATTACGATCATAGTGAAACACACCAGCCACGCGTCCTGCAAAAATAAAACCGGCAACTAAGATTCACACAATCAAAGAACTTTTAACTACACTCTGAATGAAGAGGAAGCCCTCTTTAACAAAAAAAAAAACCAACCACTTCACCAATTAAATTAAAACCATTAAACCCGTTTCTCCAAATGTTAATCTGTTTTAATACACAGGCGTTTTTTGACACACTGTATTATTTTTCATTATATTGGAAACCATTTTTATTGTTCAATTATAAAGAAAAAATGTATTTATGTGACAATACACTGGAAAAACTTTGAGCCCTGCCCTGTAATGACAGCAAAAATAATGGTCAATTGCACTGGAACGTTTGCTCATCCGAGAAATACTGACCAAATCAATTCCTTCCTTATTCCTTAACAAATTGCTTTAGAAGCGCATGTAATGCAACAAAGTAGTCTGTTCAAATCTTACGTGACTCTTTGATTTTACTCTTACTCCATGGTTTGCACTCAGTGTAGCTTTTATTCTAAATCTGAAGATATACAGTAGTGCTGTGCGTAGTTTCTAATTAAGCACTTAGCAATATGACTTGAAGTGAACTTTTAATGATTCAAGGATTTGCAAAACCAGACTAGTAAATCAGTTATTTATAGAGTGGAAAACAAAAATCTGCATGACTGCTAATACATTTCTAGCATTTATCTTCTGTAGCATGCAAGTTGTCAGGAAAATGTGTTTCAAACAAACATACAGAATGTAGCAAGTTCACAAATAACAAAATTCTGTGGCACAAATAAAGCTGTTGCATAATTCGTATCATCCATCACATTAACCGAAGGGGAACAGCACTATTTTATCTAAATAAATTTCACTAAAGTAAGAATACCTACTGTAATAAATACCCCTATAGTACCCCTAATTTTTCGGAGACTTTATTTTACATAATTTTCTACGTTCTAAGTTTAATATTTCAATCTTAAAATCCTTCACAAATTTTCAGAACGAATGCGTGTCATAAACAGAACAGCGACAGAATACTTACGGCTGAGGTAATGTTCGCAGCTCAGAGTTTCACAAAAAGCAGTGCGGATCGCGCACTGAAGGATCAGAAGAATCAGCAACATCTCTTGTCCACGTAAAACAAAGCATTTAAAATAAAAACCAACTTTTAAGTTGCAAAAATCACCTTTCTTTGCAACCTCTTGAATATACAAACAGAAATGCAATGCAAAGTAACAACGCCGTATGTAACTATCTTGCATATGGTAGAATAGAGCAGAGCTCCCAGATGTTAAAAGACGATTTTGCGGAGTAAAGGAAAGGTTCAATGTCCGGTTAATTCCCTTTGGTGTTTTACACTCTACAGCAGGAAATCGGATTCCCCTGACAAATGGAAAAGTTCATTCTTGAAGCTACTTTGTTACAATGATTCTCTGTCACGAATGCATTGTGAAAATAACAATAACAGTGTGAGGGAAAAAATTAAACATAATTAAGCCCTGAAGAAAAATTAAGAATGGTTGTAACGCCGAAAGGGCTTAGTTCTGCTCGTAAAATGCCACTTAAAAATGTGCGCATTGTGTGCGTACGACAAATCAGTTATTAAATTAAGTTAATTCACTCAGTTATTAAATTAAGGGAAATTCCAGTAAAACATTCAGTTTTTTAAATTTGTGTGAGATAAATTGTATACTGTTATAGAATCTGAAACTGTCTCGATTACCCGTTGGCAATAACGACTACAGAAGACACAAGTTATTCAGGTGAGAGTAAGTAGGTCATTATCATTATCATAAATAATATTATTGTTAGCAATTATATTGTAATTATTATAGACTGATTTATACAACTCGTGTATTTTTATTATTTGTACAGTGCATTGTATTTTTGTACTTTGGATAAACAAACTATTCACGTTGTTGCAAAAGACAAATGAGAAAGGGTCTGCCATTTAGCTAAAGTTATATTAAATGTTCCCAGCCATAACGTCTGTTACTTTTCAATACAATCTGCCATTAATGTAAAGCTTTGGAAACACTTCTTCAAAAAAGAAGTAACTCCCTAGACTTCAATGGACACCTCCTGTCTTTCGTTGTCTGTAATATTATCTGCATTAAAACAAGGTGTACATTTTTGTGCAATGATTGAACTAAACTCCCTAAATGTGATGCTTTATGGGATTCAGCACCTGTTAAATATACAGTATCAGATTAGGGGAATCGTGCCTCATACATAACCAATCACCCTAACACGTGAAATTATATGTTTATACAGTAATATATAGAAATGCCTAATAGATTGCACAGATTTGATAGACATTTAACCAGTAAAACAATTTAATTACTTTCTTCATATTAAAAAAAAACATTAACCAAGTAAGGAAAAGGCAGGATTTTTGGTTTGATAGTTACTAAGAAAGACATAAACCCTTAAAACCAGAGAAAACTATGTTCTTTGCTTTAGGAATAGCCACTAAAAAGGCTGGTGAGCTCTAAAAAAGAGATAATGAACTGCAGCATCCAGAGTCCTTATGCCTCAATACTAAAAAAGGAGTTACATTTCATATGTAAATGCAATATTTAAGTCCAAAGACATGAACCAGAATTTGTGTCAGCTTTTGCCAAAATTAAGCAAATGAACATATAGAATACTCTGAAAAAAAATCAGAAAACAAGGCTGTTTTTACCTGTTTTTTACAAATTATTTTATGAAACACTACACATACTAAAACTAAATGATTGATTCAACAAAAAAGCCCTCTCAGCTATCAGGTTTCTAATCAATCTGAAAAAATAAATAAATTGTACAGCTCAGTTTGGAAACATAGTAGGAAGCTTTATTTGATGTATAAGTAAATGTTCTTGTTTAGTTTTTCAAATTTTAAAGTATTTATGTTCAGATAAGCATCTCCTATCAAATACTGTACACTCCAGGCATGCTTTCAGCACTGCCCACAGTACATCGCTAATGTACTGTCATGAGCTCTAACATGATACAAATCCCCTCTTCCTTGAATAATAACAATGGAGATGATAAGTAATAACTACTTACAGTAGGTACTGTTTTGAAATTATGACATTTTGTGTGATTATAATTACACATAAATAAAGATATGTATAGTTTTCTTTGGGATTGTATGCTCCTGACAAGCCTTTCCTACCCAATGCTATCCAGCAAATTAAGTAAATAACACTAATAAAAATAATAAAAAATGTCTGTAAATATACAGTATATTCTCATGCAAAAAAAATCGGAACAGGAGAAAGGCATACCTTATTATATACAGTACATACTGCAATTACATTAAGATAAGTAAATTATTACTTAGTCATAAACAAATCTATGTCCTAAATAAACAAATATTTTGAATTACATTCCTTTCAGAAGAAAAGTTGGTAATACCAAATATGAATTGAACACTGAGTGTGGAGCTCACTATTTTTTTAAACTTTTGTTCAACTCTCTTAATGAATCATGGAATGTACTGTAATTCTGGGACAACAGTCCCAGAAATCCCCCTCTCAAAAGTCAAATTATCGATTGTGTAAGGAGGAGGGAGCTTAGAGATCAGAATCAATGAACACAGTGGTATTCTCAAGAAGAGACAGACTTTCACATTAATAATCCTAAACCACTTTGGAATGTGAAAATATACACAGGTAAACAGAATCTTAAATCAAATAACATTTATGAAAGGTAAGTGAAATGATTGAAGTGCCTGAGAGAAATAACTGTAACTTCTTAAGATGCCAAAAAAATCCTTCCTCAGTAAGCACCCTGTTTAACAATGTTGAATCCATTCCTTTGAGCACTGATCTCAGCTGCTGGAATCTGCAAAATAAGGAAATCACATCAAAAGCTGCTGAAACCTATGAGGTAACTGGCAAACCTTGTTGAAATTTGAATGGTCTGTTTCCATCTTAATTGGTAAGTGGTGCCAAACTAAACATTACGATCACCGTGAACATCTACTTGAAAGCAGAGTTTCTTACAAAACAGTTGTAAAGTTCACACGAGGAACATATTTACATAGGATCCCCCTGCCTTGATTTGGAACATTCTGCACTACTGCCACTATAAAGATGTGATTAACATACTGTAATATACCCAATAAACTATTGTCCTCAACTCTACATACAATAATACATACAACCCTATAAACATAGCCTTTCAGCAGTTTCAACTTTAACAGTGCAAACAACTTTTAACTGTCAAGACAATATTCACATAAAGAATGTTGGTAACAATCCTCTATTAAGAACTAGGTGGGTAGCTGCATCAGCATGCACAGGCTGCAAAGGAACAAGTAATAGGTTTATTCCAAACTGAAAAGAGAAGAAAGAAAACACAACATTTCAGCTGTGGAGCCATCTTCGGGTGTAGGAGGTGTTTAGTTACACCCGAAGAAGGCTCCACAGCCGAAAAGTTGTGTTTTCTTTCTTCTCTTTTCAGCATGGAATAAACCTATTACTTGTTTCTCTATTAAGAACGTCATATGCTAAACTCCACAATAACACCTCTACTGTTGGTTTTGTTGGTTCATCAGCTGAGAGTTCTCCAGTTCCATCATTGCCACTCTCATTCTCAGTTCTTCCAGCTCTTGTTTGTTTGAATCTGCTCTTTTCTCGGCCTCTGTCTGAAAGAATTAAAAAATAAGTATATAATTTAAACATGAAAATATCCCTATCCTTCAAAATTCTTGGTACTGACAGGTATGATTCAAATAGACAACAAAATACAACATTTTAATTGTAGGATAAGTATTCCTGTTTTTCCAAAGATCTCAATTTTATCCTTTTTTTTTCTGACAAAGTGTCTAAACAATTTTTAACAAAATCTGGTGTAGTCTTAGTGCAGTTATTTTGAAACAATGACAGAAAACAAGCACTAGCAGAACATGTAAAGGACAAAACTGAGCACAGTCACAGGAGCTGTCAAAGCATCTGAGTCTTGAGAAGACACCAGAAAGTAAGTAGTTAAGGATTGTATATAGCATTTATGATCTCTCTAGGCAAGTGAATTCAGGGGCAACATTGGAAAAGGAATGAACCTCAGAAGAGAGAGAGTAAAAAGAGTCAGAAGAGGAAGGTTGGAGGGAGCAAGAGAATGTCTAAGGGAGAAACAAGGCATTGGAGGTATAAGGGATTAGAGCTACGGAGAAAGCAATAGACAAGGATGGGACATTTGTATTGGAAACAGAAATAGGAAGCCAGTTAAGGGAGCTGGAAGCACAAAGTTCTCACGAGTTGTATGAGGTTTTGCATGCTTAGATACTTATTAGGACACTGCATTCTCTGTGAGTTCTTTGTGAGGTGAGTAGCTGTTTTTCATTATTGTCATATCAATGCATTTTCTTTTATCTTTTAGGGTAGGGCATTTCGTCTCAAAAAGTAAAAAGACTATGTAAGGAGGTTTGTATTTTCTATTGTTTAGCTTTACTTAGTGATTAGAAGCATCCACCTTACAATTAAAAAAGAGCATAGCTACAGTAACATAAGCATAAAGTATCTAAGTTCAAGTAAGTAGCTGTGTCAGCATGTGTAGGCTGCAAAGGAACAAGTAAAGGTTTGCTGAAAAGAAAAGAGGGCTTTTTCTTGTGCCACCACACAGTCATGGTGTAGCAGCACTTTTGTTTAGTAGATAGTGTATTTGTATTTGATTAAAATACTGTACAAGTCTTCGCACCTCTAAACTAACTTTGTCAGGGCTCTCTTGATGGTGCTCCCCCATTTTGAAAATCTCTGTACTAATACATTAACTATCACTAGCATTAAACAATGTTTGGCTTCATTGATATGCATATAATAATTCAGAAATTGTCAAATCAAAAGGGCAAAAACAAAACCTAATTTTATAAAATATCCCATTAAGTAACAGAATAGAAATTGAGGTACTGTATATATTAAACCACATACCATATATATTAAACCACAATCTATGTTTCAATAGCAATTACAGATATTTATGTAATTAATTAAAATCAATGCCACTGTTTAGAATAACATTGTATGGTTTCTTTAGAAATCATGGCTTAATAACCTTTACAAACAAACAAGTACACAATTTAGACTTGTACCATAATTTACCATTTTAAAACTGTACATGTATACTTTAAAAATTCATATATACACCAAGGTCTAATGTCTAAATTCCAAGAGTTCTGTTTCCAACAGTTCCTGCAAACAGAACTTAAAACAGTCTCTCCTCAACTCGCTGACCAGTAGTTCCATCTCAATATCTCTTAGGAGGTGATCATTTCCTGATGAACAGACCCATGTGGCAATGATGGTATATTAAACATTCTCAAATAAGTTTTTTTTCTTCTTCTGCAGTAGTCCAGTTGCTTATATTTCATGTAAAATACCAAAATAAGCTCTGAAAATCAGGAACCAGTAAATGGGCGATATCAGTTACAAATCCCATTCAACCATGCATAATGTTTCCAAACATGGTGTCTTCTCTCAGGTCTATTAGGGAAAAATGGCACTCTCTGTTTCCACCTCAAATGCTCTCTTACATTTCCCACAGGTTATTTCTTCTTGAATTTGAACACTCTGTAGCTACCACACAAAGGGGGAATGAGGAGGTGTAGGCAGAATCCTTCGACCCTCTCTCTTTTAAGTCATTTAACTTTTGACATGGCAGAGGCATACAGCCCTATACAGGAGGTTCTTGTAAGGAGGAGAAGCACGTCCCTCAGTGACAAACACTCCATCCTTGTATCAAACACTGTATGTCTGCACACACATGGGAGGCTGCAAGAGTTACTGTAAGCTGATTGAACCCTGGCCATTAATTCCACAACATTACCAGTGGCAGTGCCAAGGCAGTCAGTCAATCGTGCACCACAGTTTGGGAAATCCTAATCACAGCTGGCTAGTGACATAACTCAAACACAGGCCCATGATCATATAGCTCAGCCTCTGCTAAATGGTTGAGCCATTTCAGTCCTGATCCCTTGTATAACACATTTTATAGATGATATTCAAAAGTAACAGGAAGAGAAATAGAGAAAATGATAACCACCAATAGCTTCAAATCCTGCTGACAATCAGATTCCTTGAAAAGTCAGTTAACTATGTAGGGACAACAGATCTAGTAGTTGATTCTTTTGATAAATTACAGAAAAATATTTAAATGATTGTACAGCCACGATTTTACAATGTACTCATAAATCTTTAGAGAGAAAGAAACATCATATTGTGTATAATAAGACTACTATGATAATGTTAGTTCAGGTGGGTAGCTTTGTCAGCATGCATAGGCTGCAAAGGAACAAGTAATAGGTTTATTCCATGCTGAAAAGAGAAAAAAGAAAACACAACATTTTGGCTGTGGAACCTTCTTCGGATTTCAAGAAGAGCTTTCGGGAACTGGTAGAGCCCGAAGAAGGCTTCACAGCCAAAACATTGTGTTTTCTTTCTTCTCTTTTCAGCATGGAATAAACCTATTACTTGCTACTATGATAATGTCATTCTCCAGGATTTCCAAAGTAAACAAAGTCCAGCTGACTGACTTTTTTGTGGTTGAAATTCTTGACATGTCACAATGGATGAACAGCACATCACACTCGTGTGTTGACTCATGTAATTTGAAGGAGGAAGTGTGCAAGATAATGTTATAGTGACATTGTTTCCTGGGGAGTGGCATTGAAGCCTCCTTTACATATTATCTGACCTTTTAGCACAGTGTACTTTTCAGTTGTTAGTATGTGCTGTGTAGTCTGGATGCTGGGAGATGCCACAGAAGAAGGCAATCAAATCACAGGTGGAGACAAGCCATAAACAGCAGATACCTGTACGCCTATGGAATGTGTAATAGTAAATTAACTTTTTGAATTTATTTTGCAAAACAAGCTTTCTGTTAAAGAACATACCTCCAGATCTTGCAGCTCTTTTTTCAAGGTTTTAATAAATTTCTCTTTTTCTTTAATGTGGGTCAAAAGCAACTGCATCTCTCTGTGTATCCTAATTGAGACCTTCTTATAATCTGAAACCCTGTCTTCTGCACCAACCAAGGCACTCTCAAGCTCCTTAATTTTTATCTGCATTAGCTGCCAAATCACAAAATAGAAGTTAAGCCACTGAAACCATGAAGAAAATATCAACGTTGAAGGGATTCAATTATTTTATGTTGTTGATGAGAACTAAACTGGGCTGTATGGGGATTTTTGAGTTCAATGACAATGAGAGATCTCTCAAATGTGTTATATTCATTCAATACCAAAAAACCATTGCTAACAAAGACATTCTGCTACTGTAAGATAGATTAATAGAAACATAAAAACAAGAATATTCTCTATAGATAACCGTGCATGCTAATCAAAAGTAAAATCTTCTTATGTTAATACAGTACCTTTTTTTCTCTTTCTCTCCCTGCTACACTTTCAGTCAGCCTCTGATTCTCTTGCACCAAATTAGCCTCTGTCTTGGAAGGACTACTGTCCAGCTGTTTCATCAGAAGTTGGCTTGTTTTCCTCTCTTCCTTCAGCTGTTCTGTTGATTTGACTATGAAAGCTTGCAAGTTTTCCCTCAAATCATAATACCTTGTTTTCAGGTCCTAAAACCATTAGATTCTATTAAGGGTTAATTTACGGCAACATTATAGTACTAAACTATTTTCAAATTATGACAATCAAACTAGAAACCTAGGTTGTGAAAAATAAGCATTACTTATTGTGTAACAGGGTTAACTAAATAAAGGTAATATTAAAAAGAAAACCAGAACTAAAGTGTATTTAACACTGAAAACCCTCACCTTCTGAAAATAGTGCTTAATGTCAGAAATATATACTGTACCTCAGATATCTGTAATGCTTGTTCAACCTGCTGATGAATTCTGGCTTTCTCATGCTGCAGTATTCTTTCCAGCTCTGTGAAATAGACAGGTGGGGCAGCACACATCATAGTCAGTGTACCCTTCATTTCTTCCTGAATTAGATGTTCCTGCTGCCAACTGGAAGTATGGTTAGCAATCTTTTCTTCAAGCTCAGCCAAAATCTGATTCATTTCCTTAAAAATATAAATAAAAATGTATGAATACTGTATATATTGGTACAGAACATTATATGGTACAATTCTAAGATGAGTCCACCCCAGCCTCATGTACAATATGACTTGACCTAATGGGCTCCTTACAAATTTAATCTAATCCAAGCTCAATAATAGTACATGAAGAGGTGTCAGATTTACGCAGAGAAAAACTTTAGGCGGAATATTTTTAAAGAAATGTGCAAAAAAAGTAATGTATTTTGCAGATTGTTTAGGAAAAGCCTATAACAGGACAGGATAAAACACATATTTTAAGAGATCTCCATTACTTTAAATTTTGATTTTCATTGTTATATACACTCACGATAAGAATTTTGGTGTCCTGCCATATGTCCTGGAAAATGACTGAAGGTGAATTAATTGAATTAACGAACTAAATTAGTTCATTGAAGTCAGGAATCTTGGAAGAAAAAAACAGCTCTATCAACTCTCAACTCTGTGTGATGTGATTATTAAAATGCCTGCAGAGACTGCATTATTAAATTGCCTGTTGGATTTACAGAGCAAAGACAGAGTGCACACTGATTCCCCCACTTATTTTATATGCTTTTTACATAAAATATTGATGTGCAATGACAGTCTACCTGTTGCTGTATGCCCCTCTTTTTCAGCACCTCAATCAGTCTCTTCTCCTGCAGGTTAGTCTTTAAAAAGCCTGTGCTTGAAACTTGCAATATCCTCTGGACTAGCAGGTCATGAAGCTCCCTCTCTTCAAGACAGATGATGTCATTCTCTTGAGCTATTTCAAAGTGTTCTTTGTGCATTTTGGCAATACCAGTGTATGCAAGCTGACAATGACAAAATGTGTGCAAATGTTAGAGCACAGCTTTCAGTTGAGCTCTCCTTTAAAAACAGCTAGTTTAGTATATAGTATCCTTTACTAAAAAAACCTGTATATTCACACACACACACCTGGAAAGAAATCGTAATTTTCTACAGTCTTAAGCAGAGGGAAATATGAGGATTTTTAAAGAAATAAAACGAACCCAGTGAATTACTGCATGCTCACTAAGAAACAAAGATACAGATGGATGAAAATTGTAATGAAGTGCATTCTGGTGTGAAAACAGACATTTAGGAAAAAATATTTCTGTGGGTGTCTGGAACAAATTTTTAATCTTAGTTTCATACTAATATGGCAATATTCTACCTTTGGCAATCAACTTTTCTTAAGAAAAGTAGCATTTTATTCTTATGCTTTTAAAATAATGAAGAAACTTCAAATATGTGTTCATATGCAATTGAATCATTATATTTAAAGCACAAACCTTAAATATGGCCCAGGTGTCTGGACAAGTCAGAATCTACTGTATGCTTCAAAATTTGAGTATCTGCATATGCATGTTTTAAAAAAATCTACTTACCCCTTGTTGCCTTAGTAAATGAATTAGCTCTGTATTCTTATAAGTAATGTCTGAAATGAGTTCTAGCAGGGATCTGCTCTGATCCTGAGGCAGCGAGGATAGAAGCTGGCCCATATTTTGGTTCTGTGAGTCTGTGACCTCACTGAGCAGAGAAACCATGTTATCTGTGCAGTTTTTGATCTGGTCAATCAGCAGTTGAAATCTATGAAAATATCCCTGATAAAAAAAAATGCATCTGTTCAGATTACGATGGTAGACTGTAAAATTTAAGTCATAATTCTAACCACTTACATAAATACTAAATAAATATTAAATAATGTTCATTTGATTATTTTATGTGAAATGTGAAACTGACCTAATTTGGTATAGCAAGGCTGAATTGTTCTTGTTATAAGCTAGGAGTTATCCTGGGTCTGGGAAAGAGTGGAGTAGATTTTGTGATGTCAAGAGAAATGGAAGAATGAATTACAGAAATATGTCACACAGAGTAACAGAACAGACAACTGTAACTGCATGTTAGATTCCTCTAAGCAGGAAAAGACAGACAGTGTCTGTTTCTCCCCAGCAGACACCTCATGCTTCTGCTTTAGAGAAGAGACAGAGATTATTTCCTCTTTCAAGCTGTATATCGTCTCAGCAAATGTTCATTTCTTGGTGTTTACCTCAGGAAAGAACTAAAAAATTGAATAATTGACTTCTTGAAAATACGGGTCCTTTGCTTCAGTATAGAATTAGTCAAGAAGACTGCAATTTTTCCACACTGTTAGCTCCAGTATCCATTATCTCCACAGCACAGTTAGTACTGGTAGACAAGTTAACAGCACAGTTGCAAACTACCAGGTTTTAAAGAAATGCTACTATACTTCCTCTGACAGATTTCCATACAAAAACAGATATCAAGAATTAAACAATCAATTGAGAGAACAAGTGACTATCTTTAATTCGGCTGCCACCCTTTTCCACAACACAGATGCAACTAGGATAGGATATTTCAGCCGCTTGAATTCAGAATAACATCAGATCTGTGAATAGGACAGAAATAAACTACACCCGAAGAAGGCTCCACGGCCAAAACGTTGTGTTCTCTTTCTTCTTTTTTTCAGCATGGAATAAACCTATTACTTGTTCCTTTGCAGCCTACGCATGCTGACGCAGCTACCCACCAGAAATAAACTATTGTGTGTTGTAGCTTCCATATTTCAGTCAGTAATGTTGGTGTTTTAACAGTGTTAGTCCACGAAGCCCTAAAAGATACATCATAATAAAACATACCTCATTTTGCTTTTGACAGTCTTGTTCCAAAGTGCTCAATGTATCTAGCTCATGCTTCTTGACCATTTCTTCTTGAACGTAGCCTTTTTGTTGTTGTGACATTTCACTTTCCTTCCACAAGCTGTGAAATTGCTGTTTAGGTGTATTCATTTTTGTGGTTTATGTCAGCTACTGAAAACAAAAATTAAAGGTAAATTTACAGCAAGATACCAGTTACACAAAGCTGTATAGTCCTCTGAAATCGTAAATGTTCCAGCAGTCCAATAGTTACAATAGCTTATCACACAATACAGAAGTTTCACTTTTCCGTTTTGTGCTTTTGCCTTACAAGACAGTAGGCTGCCAAACACTTCTGTAGTATACTGCATGAATTGAGATTTGACCAACTGCACCCTAAATCACCAATACAAATTATTGGAACAAGTAAAGGTTCATTCCATGCTGAAAACAGAAGAAAAGAAACACATTTTGGCTGTGGAGCCTTCTTCAGGAGCACGTACAAATAAACCAGAGAAAGCAGGGAAAACTAAACAATTTCTTCTGTTTATTATCATTATGTATTATTACTGTTTGTTATTATTCCCACATATCAATTTATCACCTGCTGATACGCTAAACAATTGAAATAGCTGGAATATTATCTTGTCCAGCAAATGATATCTTACAAGAACATTTCAGGTGGCTATAAATGGTACAATTGTTACTTCATTTCTTTACTCCTTGAAAAAAAAAACAGGTTGTTATATGATACATCATAATATAATTAATGAACCACATCACCAGGGACTAAATGGATTTTCTTTTTTCTGACGTATACTCAATAGCTCATTCCTCTTTCTTCCTATAATCTTAATAATCATTGTACGCCATCATTTTTGTGCAGTATATCGTCGTGGTGACGAAAGGCCTCATTGACAGCTGAACTGTGAAACGTGCGGCCCAACGGCCGAGTCTCGAGCTGCCAATGTGGAGCCCCAGAGCACGAGAAGGGTCCGCGCGCCAGCTGGGTCAGCAGCTCAGACCGAGACACTGGAGACGCGACAAGCACCGACAAAAACACCCCTCTATTTCTGAAAGAAAACATAGTATTCGTACACGGACATATGTTCGACAAAAACACACCCATTTCTGAAAGGAAACATAGTTCTTTGTACACAGAAAGATGTTCGACAAAAACACACCTATTTCCTAAGAGAACAGTTCTTTGGACACAGCGATATAACGTATTCTTTTGACATTTAAGTATTTTTACATCAGAACTAACAATCGTTCAGATGACAAAGCACCGTAGCGGAACTTGTTGTTAAACCTCTGTACGTTTAGAAATAAACGAAATAAAATTATACTGGATCCTACATTTTTATGTTTTATTTGTATTTGGTACACATTTACACAAATAAGCACGACGAATAAAAAGCAAATACAGTAGGCTTAACGTGTTCATGATCATGAATGGGGATGTTCATTTTTCTCATTTTAAGTTGTGGAAATTGTTTTAATATGCGATATAACTGAATTCTGCTTAGTGAACACACTGTACTGTGCAATGGGTTTTTATTGTAATAAAGTTTCATCAAAGCTCGTGACTCTTGCACTCGCCAATGGCGTCCTTCAGGGTGACGTCACGTCGAGGGTGTTTCCGGGTGTTTTACTGTGTATTTCCTTGTTTCCTTGTTGGTCGGTCAGAGGCCTGTGGTGTTTGTTCTGGATATTTTCCTCTTATTTTTTTCATTTTTGTTTTGCTTCCCGTACACTTTCTGTGATCGATTTGAGTAAAGATGAACCGGCTCTTCGGTCGCTCTAAACCTAAAGGACCTCCACCGAATCTCACAGATTGCATTGGAAATGTAAGTAAATATACTGTACATCTGAGGGTTCATTGCCAAGTGTGTTTTGTTGGTACAGGTCTGGCCCCGGCTGATCGAGCCCGTTGTCCCATGACTGTGAAACACAGTCGCTTTTGTAATGTCCCATTGTTACGATGTACTGGTGTGATTCGAAAACCACCATGGCATTTGTTTGAAGTAAGAGGTAAAAAAAAACTGCGTCTGACAGGACATTAGGTTTTGTTTGTTGTTATTAGCTGTTCGTGTTTTGTGTACCTGTGTCTCTGGACGTTTTTTTTTATCTTAAAGTGAATGTGGCAAATAGTTCACTACTTTTTTATGTAGTGCAGCCGATTCTCCTTAATTAATAATTGAATACGTGCGGGTAGGTAGCCGATAAGACAGTTGTCGTGGTGGATTGATATGTCAAACCCATTACATTGAAGAAATAATAACCTGTCACCGTTTCGGAACAATGAGACGGCTTGTTCGTCCAGAGATATATAACTAATGCTGTCTTTACATGTTGAAGTGTTTGTACCGGTGTTAGTTTTATTCCACGTCACATGCGTCAAGGGTTCTTTTTGTCGTTATGTCCATAAATGTATTTGATATTGTAGTTTCTTCCCTGTAATTAGAAACATTCAAGATGAAACACAGCAGTTTAGTTCCCAAATGCCATTTCAAAAAGTTTCTTTCCATTCTAATTCTAATAATTATGTGAGGTGATTACAGTTTTCCTGAAGTCTTGAAATAATAAGTATGAATTCTGAATATTAGTTAAAATGACGTTTACTTTTGGCTGTATATTTGGAGTATTGGCACCTCATCCAGGAAAACAACGCTAAACAACACGTAAACTGAAGAGTTTATGTACATTAATGACTAATGCTGTAACTTCGAACGTTTTCTAAAGTCACCAGCCAACGTATACCATTTCTAATGTCCACCTGACGTTTCACCTTATTACTACATTCTCTTTAAATTGTAGTGTATCTGCTCTTTTGTGGTCTGTGTTGTAAGACTCTTTGAGTAGACGCTGCGTACATTTACTTCCTTTTACGAACTGAGTTATTCGTTGGGTGTGTATCCACACGCCTGTATTTCAGGTTTTGTGATTCTTGTATCCCACAGAAGAAAAAACTAAAGCCAGCCCTTCATTGTTCTTGACATGTGTGTCATGTAATATATTTGATCTGAAGTTGAACCAAAATTTTAAAAAGGATAGGACTACTGTGTACATAACATATACGGGAGTCTGTGTGTTAATGATGTGCACTGTAGCCCTTAGCCAAGTGCATAAATTTACATTGATTTCCCCACCCCCATTCTGCACACAGACAGATTGCATTTTTGATATACTAAACAGAATCAGGTTCATTTGCATGCATATTACTTTTTGTGTTCTCCCCTGTGTAAAATTCTATTGTGTCCCCCATGTTCCCTGCCTGGGATGTGACTTTATTGGCCATGAGTGGGATGTATAATGATGAGGGAAGAATGTGTCCCTCTCAGTGCAGGGTTGTGTTTGGTCGCAAGATGAAATTGCTGTCCATCCTTTTATCCCAGGCAAGTATTTTTAAAACCCCACTCCAAGTCAGAGCTTGAGTAGTTTCCTTCTTTCTGTCCAAGTACTGTGCAGTAAGTGTGGAGCAGTGGTGCGGATTCTGGACTTGCCAAAAACTGGAACTGGTTCAGTTCTTGGAAGTGCCACTGCTTTTGTAGCCTAGAGCAAGGTATTTCTCTCATATTACTTCAGTGAAATACCTAGTTGTGTAAATAGGTGCAAATAATGGTTGCTTTGCATAAACGATTTAGCCACATAATTTAGTATTTAGTAATTAAACAGGGTGAATTGATCAATTTATTGAGGACAGGGCAATGTGTCTAAATTAAGCCTGCAGATAAAATAAGGACCTAGGTGTGACAATGATTTAACAGTGATTTCATATCAATGATTTCATATCCTCACCTTATTGTCAGTGCTTTGTATTTTACTGTCCTGAGAACCTCATTTGAGTCCCTGTGCCTTGATGGAAGTTGCCTATAGTGTCACATTGACAGCAGGCATAGAAGTGGACAGCAGGTGCAAGTCTTTCAAAAGGAGCACAACATTGAAATAGTAAGAATATTTTACAAAGAATGCTTACCTTTGTAACTTTTTTCTAGAATTACTAAAACCTCCCTCACAAGTATTTTAGTAGCAATTAATGACAACTCTGCATTGGAGAGAGGAATTATTCCCTTATTAACCTCCAGCCTATTGAGTTGAATTTCAGCTCAGTGTCTTCTAAAACAAATGGTTAAATCATATAACACACCACACCTTACTTCATATACACGTTGAAATAGCATCTCAAAGTGCTTCACAGTAGGTGTAGAAAGACAGTTTTAAGACAGAATAAGCATATAAGAAACACAAGCGAAAAGAGATGCAGCAGAAGTATACAAGATCTTTCAATTCTCTTTAGATAGGATTAGAGCTTTGAAAATCTGAAACCTTTTGGTTAATCCTTTGTTGGCCGTGCTACTAGGTGGATTCAAGGGCAGAGTCTATCGATAAGAAGATAGCCAGGTTGGACGCTGAGCTTGTGAAGTACAAGGATCAGATGAAGAAGATGAGAGATGGCCCTTCAAAGGTAAGATGATGTATGAAGGTCTGTGAGAATAAAGGTGAATGGCACAGCAGCAACTGTTTTGAAGTCGTCCTTTTTTCTTGTTAAAGTTTCTCTTCTGCCCCTCTCTAAAGTTATTTTAACATGAAAACAGAAAAAAAGGTGGAAAATATTCACATGACACAATAAAAGTTACTTTTCCTGTTTTTTTATCTTTCACTTTGATCGTGTTACTTCTATAACAAGGACAGGTTCACTGTTGTACAAAGTGACATGCATTAAACCAAATTTTAAATTATTTTAAATGATCAAAGCAAATGATGGCCATTGCTTTTTAACACAAAGTGATTCATGTGTGATTGACAAAAATAATTGAAGTTTGTGAAGCAAATGATTGAATAAGCCTTTATTTTTGGTCAGTATATGACTAGGAACCAGTCTTTCATATGGTGTCTGTCCAGGCTCTGTTTGTCATAGTCAAGGGTGCAGAGTTACATTGGCAGCATTGAGGTTGTTACATGCTTTTGATTCCTCTTTTCAATCTTGTGTTAGAGCAAGTATAGATAATATGACAGATGCTCTGGTCATTGCCACAGAGACAGAGAGGGTTATCGCTAATACATTGTTACCTCACTGATGGAAGAGGCTTTTTCAGCAACTGATTGTTCTGAGGTTGTTGAGGTAGGTCAGAGCATGTCAGTTTGTGTGTTGGCTCCTACTCTTTGTGTAGCACTTTGGCTTTGTGCCATTTTGTTTAGCTGAGTTCTTTAATGTACTTGTCGGCATCGATGAGAGTTTCCACTCTTATCTGCAATTGATTGCAGATCATAAGGAAAAAATAGTGCCAGGGAACTGGACTTTGTGCTTTTGTTGCATTTGGCGTTGTGAGTTGGTGGAAGTACCAACATCAGTAGCCAGGTGGTCAGACAACCGTGGAGCTGTGTTTGAATGTGTTGGAAATCATTGTAGTCGACTTGAGGACTCCAGTTATTCGGATTGTCCTATTTAGCTCAAGTTTCACATTCTTGACGGGAGTCCAGCACCCCAGGTAGTATGTGCTAGCCTGCTGATGAGTTTGACATTAGGCTTGACTTTTGACCATGTTCAAAAGTCTTCAGATGTTCCTTGAAGCTGGTGATCAAGGTAAACTCCAGGGTGTGATGGACACTAGTCACTCCTAAATCTTCAGCCACGGAAAGGGACCTTCATCTGGGATCATGCTGTGCAGTTGTCCAAGTGATTTGTGGAAACTGCTACCTTCAATGGGCTTGGCCTCAGTTTCCACCGGACTGGATGGTCTTTGAGTTCTGTCAAGATCTCACCGGTGAGAAGCTGTTTGTGTTCGCAAGCTTTGCTGAAATCATTACCAGCAGCCTGATGGTACTGATATTGAACAAAGCACCTCCCAGATTGGAGCCCTGTGGTGGTCCTGATGTTAAGTTGGACAGTAAATTTTTAGTCGTCAAGTTTGCCATGAGGCAGGTGATGGCACGGCATTGTAATAGGCTGGAGACTTTTGGGATAAGATCTGCTCACTCACCTTGTTATAAGGCATGGTGAGGCTGATGAAAACAGTAGCAGTTCTTTGTGTTTCATAGGTGTGGTGATTGTTATTGCCTGATATATGCAGGGATACCTGGTAGGAGCCTGGGATTTCCATGTTTCAAAGAGCAACTACTACAGTAGCCTTTTTCCATCCTGGTGGTATACGGCCTGAATTGTGGGATAGTTCTAAAAAGAGACACAAGCCAGACTTTTCCTTCCTCGCTTAGATTTTTTAAAAAATCTGGAGAATTATGACGTGTGGAAAATACCACATGACATATTCATGTGGTAAGTACCACATAACATAATCACGTGTTAAATATGATAACACAGAGCATGTCTGTAGAGATTCATTGTTAATATTTTACAAATATCATCTCCTGCTCCTTTAATGTAGTCATCTAAAAAAGCCTTAAACCTAATAGGATGTTCCATTTGCACTGTTTTTCAGAACATGGTCAAACAGAAGGCTATGAGAGTGCTAAAGCAGAAAAGAATGTGAGTTATCATTTTCTTCTGCATTGGGTAATGAAAATTACTCCTTTGATAGTAGGATCTGGTGAGATGTGTACACACTGAACAAGTAAAATCGAAAAATTTGTTATACGGTTGTTAAATGTATGATAAAGGCATCAGTGTACTAATCGAGTGTAGTGTATATCTACGTTAAACCTCCTTAAATATTCTATACAGGTATGCTCATGAACCAGTATAAAATGTTAATAACAGCAAATACAAGATTGAAAAAGTAATGGTAAGAAAGTTTGTCTCCCTTAGGTTCAACTTTGCTTGTCATCCATGTAAATTAAAAACAAAAACAATGTGAATGATAGCAGCAGGGTGAAACGTATTTAAAGGTATTTATCTTTTTGCAGTGATTTTGTATGTGGTTTTATGTTTAGTTTAATGAAACGGTGTTTAAATATCTTTTATAAAAAAGCCTATTGGTGAATAAACAAAATCAAAGGGCTTTATTTGTAACAGCATTGAGAAATATTATCACAGTTTTCCTTTACAATAATTTCATTGTATTCGAAAAGGCTCATTCAGTTTTATCGACACTTAAAACAAGATGACTAAGCAAAAATGTTTTCAATGAACAGCAGTCAACCCTGGTAAATGTTTTGCTGCTTTTATGTGTATTTCCCAACTCTCTCTTGATGTTATGAAGTTTGGTTTTGTCTATAATGTAAATTTGACTATTTGTATTTTGGGCAAAAATGCAGTATTAATACATTCCAAGAAACAATTCAGATTGACAAAAATAATAAATGGATATAGTGCTGCTCTGTTCCTCCTCACGCATAAATGATTTTAACATAATACTTTGAAAACAAAGAGGAGACATTCAACCAATGCTGTATAAAAAAAAACTTCATGATTGCCTCATGCAGAATTAAGCGGCTAAATGGTCATTTCTAACTTCGCAGCACGTGTTTCTGGTTTCAGGTATGAAGGCCAGAGAGACAACTTAATGCAGCAATCTTTTAACATGGAGCAGGCAAACTATACAATCCAGACTCTTAAGGACACAAAAACAACAGTAAGGATTCCCAGATTTTGTCTGTCTTCATTTCTTACTGTTTAGTAAACATCGTTCAGGTTTTGTATGAATGGTATAATACTTATAAGCAGAATAAAACAAGACCACTATATCTCAGCTCATGTACTATTTTGAGTCCCTTGATTTTATTAACTGTTTCCATTACCTGTACTACTCCTATATCATTTTGTTCCATTTTGAGTTTTGTCTTTGACTGTTATGTAGTACTGTCATTTAATAATAAACAATAGATGATTAAATTTTCAGCTATGTACCTGTCCTGTTTTAACAAAGAGTCCTACTGTATTCTGAGTTCTTTGAGATCTGCTACCTTGACAATATGTCTTTTAGGTGGACGCCATGAAAATCGGAGCCAAGGAAATGAAAAAGGCATACAAGCAAGTAAAGATTGATCAGATTGAGGTAACTGACACTTTTTTTTTATTCCAAAATGTAAATTATTTAGTTGTGGTCTCATCTTTTCAGACATTATTCTGCTGCACTGCACTAGGAAATGTATTATTATCACCAGTGCAGTCAATGTAAGCTGCTAAAGTTAGGTTGGGATGAACTGAGCTTTGCCATTGCCTCAGATATCCAAAAGGGGTCACAGTGGAGCCATATTCCTTCACTGCTAATCTTACCTAGAGATTTTTTTTTCATTTTAACTTAAGAGGTGCTTTCTTATACTGGTGATGGTTGAGTGCCGTCTAGTCGGTGTCAACTCATGGCGGCCCTATGGACAGTTCCACCGTCACTATCCATAGAGTTATCATGGCAAGATACAGAAGTAGATTACCAGGCCTTTCGTCAGCGCAGATAGTGCGAGTGGTGTTGCCGTTGTCACAGATGTGACCCTCCGCCACCAACACCACCCCATACTGCTGCTGCCCAGTATGGGTTATTAGAGAACCTTGTGCCTGACGTGGGACACGAACCCACTACCCTGAGATTACGAGTCTCACGTCTTACCAACAGAGCTCGTCAGGGCAGCTTTCTTATACTACATGTGTAGTATAAGAACACACATGGTTTTTCTGTATCTGAGAATGCAGCAGCTAATGACATGCTTTGTGACATTGTTCTTCTAGGACTTGCAGGATCAGCTGGAGGATATGATGGAGGAGGCCAACGATGTTCAAGAGGCGCTGAGCCGCAGCTATGGAACGCCAGAGATTGACGAGGATGACCTGGAAGCAGGTAAGTGCCCGAGTGATCACAATTATACGAAAATCCATGGATGAGAAACATCTGAAATTACTTTCCTGTGGTAAAAACAGAGTGATTTTAGGGACTCCATGTTAGAGCTTATTTTTAAGAAACTTCTTTTACTCTTGATGTTACATGAAGTCTGTTGCATGTGTGAAGATGCCACCTTGAGCCACTCTACCACAGGCAAGAAGCTGACATTCGATATCTTCTGATCCAAGTGAACATGTCTTTAAAAATGTGAATTGTTTAAATATCAGAAAATGGCTTTGGTAAAAGTTTTAATGATGCATTTCTAATTAATGAATGAATATGCATGCTTTGGAAGGGGATATGCACAACAATTCAGTGTTACTGTTATAATATTGTTTTCTAATACAGTGTAAAGACATCTATTACAGACTGTATTCTCTCCATCAAGACTACAGATATCACCTATTTGCTCTGAGTGTCCTTGCCAGAAAACGGAGGTTGAGATCCAACATATAAAAGCAAATCCCAATGCCTTATCTAATTATGAACAAGACCTTGTCCATGTCCTGTTTCCATTATCAATGTGCTGTGTAAGTTCCCATTGTGAGCTGTAGCACCAGAAGGGGCCTGTTGTCAGTGTGTGTGTTGTTCCTCCTCCTCAGAGTTGGACGCACTGGGTGATGAGCTGCTGTTAGATGAGGACACCTCCTACTTAGATGAAGCTTCGTCCGTTCCTTCCATTCCCGAAGGTGTGCCCAGTGACATCAAGACCAACAAGGTGAAGTTCACACTTTATCACAAGTACTATAATATGACATTGATTTTTTTATTAACCTTTGGGGGGGCCAGGGATTTTGAAGTTTGTTGATTTTAAATAATCAAACTCTGGGTTTTGTAAAACTTAACGCTTAATGTTTAAGCATATGCAACCTTTCATATTGGAACCTTTCGGAATAGGTCTTTTACAGCAGTTAGATTGTCAGATTTGACCTGCACCAGTCTGTCTGTCCTTTTAAAACTGTAAGACAGGTTACAGCTTTGCAAAAGCGTCCTGACAGCTCGAGGGTGCGTCACTTTAAGTTGTAAAATGAGATAGTGAGATTTCTTTTAGATTTTTTTCTATATTTAGATTTTCAAGTGGAAAGCTTGTCATCTTGTGTTGGCTGCAAACAAGCAAGGAAAAGTGAAAAGTAGGAAGTTGAAACATTTTGCTTCAAGCCTTTTTCAGGTGAAGATGCCTTTGACCCCTGAAGAAGGCTTAATGGCCTAAACATTGTTTCACCTTTCTGTTTCTCAGCATATATATATATATATTTTGGATGGTTCTGTTTTGCTCATGTGACATTGGATTTTGTATTTTCAGGATGGTGTGCTGGTGGATGAATTTGGCTTGCCGCAGATCCCTGCTACATAAGAAGCAAATAAAACCATTCAGGAATACACTTTCATATGTAAAATATCATTTATACATTCAACTGACAATATAGCCTGAGTGTGCAACAAGATCACCATTTTCCAGAGGCATGTATGAATTGAAAGTTTTGACCATGTATTAGTCATCCCTTCATACTTTTAATTTGTACTCCAATACTTAAGTGTCGTCTTGAAAACTTTTTTTTTTTACTTTCCTAAACCAATTTTTAATTTGGTTTATCGAATGAAGACTATAAGTCTTGCCCTAATAAGGAATTTGAAGCTCCTGATTTTTGTTTCTAAACATGTAAAGGGTTTCTGGTAGGCGGCTGCTTTTCATTCTGTAAAATAACACTGTGTAACTCCTTTAAATAAAAATTAATAAATTATACATTTTAAAGCATTGTTTTTGTCTTAAATTCATTCAAAATTCATAAATTGTTCAGCATTCTTAAAGATGCTGTAACTTAATAATAATTCCTTACACTTATTGTATAGCACTTTTCTGGACACTCCACTCAAAGCGCAGTACAGGTAATGGGGACTCAACGGCAGCCGATTACAGAGCGGACAGTACACTCACCACACACCAGCTATCGGGGGGAGCATAACAGAGTGATGAAGCCATTTCAAAGATGGGGATTATTAGGAGGCTGTGATTAGTAAAGGGTAATGGGAAATTTGACCAGGGTAACACCCCTACTCTTTTTAATGACCACTGAGAGGTCCAAAGGAAAATGCCTTACAGTATTATCTGCCTGACTTTAAGACTCATAGACCCTACTGGCTCCACTAACATCTCTTCCAGCAGCAACCTTAGCTTTCCCCAGGGGTCTCTCATCCAGCTACTGACCTGGCTCACACCTGCTTTGCTTCAGTGGGTTGCTAGTTGTGAGGTACAGGGCGATATGGCTGCTGGCTTGTGGAAACTAGTGAATTCTAGATCAGTTACTGTTTTAATGGTCCTGTTTTACTGTAACTGAAATTAATAACATTTCATTTTGGATTCAAACAATTTTCTTACATTCTGATGGGCTAGTATGTTTAAATAACCTTATTCCGAAGATATTTAATTGCATGACTTAACAATTTAATTCGTTTTTAAAACTGGAATTTTCATTTAAATATAGTCTTTCCGCATCTGGAAACAGCGGCTGTATGAAGAGAAAGGAAATTAACGTTCATCAAAGCCATTTGCCCTTTACTCTCTATGAGCTTCATGACTCTTATCCCAGAGGCAGCATTGACTGGAGGGGTGATGCAGCTTGCGATCACTCAGGAGGTCAAAGGGGCCACAGGACAAGCTGAGCATACCTCCCAATCAACCCGTCAACCTAACTGCATGGTGCTTGATTAATCATTCACCAGATATCGGGCATTACTGTGGACATTCCAGTCTCAAACTGACCAAGTCTAGACCATGGGTGTCAAACTCAACTCTCAGAACCTACAATATGACTAGTCCATTAAACATTTTTCTTGTGCATAGGGATTTTATTTAAGTTTTTTATGCTTAAGAACATTCACTTCATTCAATTTGATCTATTTATATAACAACTCAAATCCCAGTTAGAAAGATTTCAATTATGCTTTTAAATAGGTAGGCCAACTGTGCAAATAGAGTTCTGGTAGAACAGAAAAATAGGCTCTCGGGGAATAAACTTTTAGATCTATGGTCTAAATTACAGGACAGGACTTTGTGTGAGAGGAGTGTTTACAAATTGAGATAACTGAGCTCTTCTTTCTTCTTCCGTGATGGAAAAAGATACTTTGTGCAATTTGTATTGGGATTTGTGAGCTTTCCAAATACTTTGTAGTCTGTGATAAATATTGTTGTGTCTTAACGTAGCTTCTAGTGTTAAAATTCAAAAGCATAGCTAAATCATGTCCTTCCATTTTCCAACCACTTTATCCAGCTTGCCAGGATAGACTCTGGCTCCCCTATGACTCTCTATTGGATAAAGCAATTAGAAACTGCATGGATGGATATTGTGGACTAGACCAATTGCTCCAAATTAAAACTATCAATAAAAGTCCAGGTCTATTTTTAATTTTCGTGAACAGTTAGTGAAGCCTTTAATTCTCTTGTATTCATTTAGGTGAATTCTGTACTTCCCAATATTAATTATGAACAATCAAACTTGATGAACCATGGTGCTCTGAAAAAGTCTGAGCTTAGTACTGACTTTGTTACTTGAATACATTAAATTAATGAATCCAGGAATGCAGTCTATAAAGTGCACCTACTGTAGTTTCATCAAGAATGTTCAATTTCCAGCTGACTATATGCCTGATGTTGATCATTTTACTATCATTTAACATTTTATTACTTTACTAACTCATTTTACTATGAGATCTTACCAACAAAGCAGCCAATTACAACATATACCCTTTCATAATCCATATTTGAAACAAGCACTCTTGTCCCAAACAGCCTTCAAGCAGAGTCACACCCGCATAAGGGAAAATACAAGAATGACAAAAAAACGTGTCTGCATATGCGATGGACAAACTCATCTACAGCATTTCAAGGTGGTGTAGAAATAGCAATGTTATAAATGTTAATTGGATTAATGTGTCTAGTTCCTACAACACTTCTCTCCTGCCACTCTGATTTTCTTTCCATCTCAGAAAGACTTAAGTGAACTAATTAAGTGGCTAAAAAGTGAAATTAGATGTGTTTTTTTCCAAGTCAGGTGTTAACTGTTTTGTGCCTCTAAATCCAGAAGGAGTTATCAAACACTGGAGGTGCCAACCTGCGTATATTGTTTAACGATCATTTATTATCTCTTCTTTTTTCCCAGTTTCTTTTTGCCTTTTGATTGTTTCTTCTTGGGAGATTTAGATTTTCTGCTCTTTGGCCTCTTCTCAGATGGATTAGAAGGGGCTCTGGGCACAAACTCTACCCTCTGACCTTGACATTTCCTCTGCCAAAAAATAAAATCGTTTTATTTGATTGGTTTTTGTTATGCAATGGTTTTTGTTTCTATGATCATCTGGGTTCCTTTTGAAAATAAAAGGAAAAGCAAATTACTGGTAATGAAAATACATTCTATCATCTCCTGTATGGTAGATAAATATTTATGTCCTCAAAAATGGTCATTATTATGATTGAAAAATACACATAGTTGAGAGCCTGTAAAAAATCAGGAGTTACTCTGTCTAAATAATTAAACTTTATTATGGTTAAGACTTTGATTTAATCTGACTCGAGATATAAAAATGAACTCAATACTCCTTCAACAGATTGTAGACCAGAGCCATAGAAAGTCTCAAATTCAATATGTGGGTTTAATGTACAGTGCATGAGCAAAATTAGAATAAACAACACTGGAATAAAAATGCAAATAATTATTTTTAACAGCAAATTTCACCGAAAAAGCAAAGCAGTAGAAAACAATGCTGTGTGGTGTTTTCTTTTTTTTTTTACCTGGAAACATTTTCTGCACTTGTCAGCTTCCTTCATCACCCCTGTAAAGTCCCCTTTAAGGCATTCTTTACAGTACCTTGTTCCACACCACTTGCACATGTAAGTCTGCGAAGCAATCAGATGAGATTAGATGTAGCTTTCTGGGGAGCTTGAGCAAAGAACATTCTCTATGCGTATTTGTCATATTTAACAAAGACAACAGAGCCAATACAACAGCAGCTCGAGAAATTACTGACATACGGCACTGCACTCATCAAGAGACAGCACAACATGGGCCATGTGGGTCAGGCAAATTATTTCGTAATATTTTAACTTATATCCATCCATTTTCCTTACTTCTTCCAATTCAGGGTTGTAGAGGAGCCAGAATCTATCCTGGCAAGGAATGGGCACAGAAAGAGCACTCACAGATACACACACTCACACCATGGCCAGTTTTCCCAGAAGGCACTTAACCTACCTGTAAGCCTTTGGACAACAGGAGGAAAGCAGAGTACCTGAGCAGGAAACCCACACAAACATAGGGAGAACATACAAACACCCCACAGACAGCACCCAAGGTCTGGAATTGAACTCTGGGCTCCAGCACTCCCAGCCATCATTGCTAACCACTGCACCACCACACTGTTCATTTTAATTCACACTTAGTCATAATTCATTTGTAATTGAAATAAGAATATTTGTAAAGCATCTGATTATTGTTAATGTAGAAAAGTTTTTTAAAATAATATCTTACCGTATCTACAGTCGTGCACCCCCAGCGACACATCTTTGCAAATGTACAGGTAAGTACAGTACATAGATTTCTAATGAGTTTGTTTGCCAATCTAATTGTGCATTCCTTGGCCCATGTAACTATCTGACATAACTTGTACAGTATTCTTAGTTTTGACTTTGTTTAACAAATCCAGAATTACGGCACTATCAGGTATAAAGCTGCTTTTCGTATCTTCTGCAAATCATTTGAATTAGCAGTTCTGATTATCTTTCAACATGTCAGGTTAAATTCTTCGCTACAAGACATTTGTTTATGGCCTAAAGTTTGAGTGTTGTTGCTGTTATTAGTTGCTACAGTAGTTGTTATGGTAGCAATGGTGTTGCCTGTGTGAAATCAGGAAGCTAACAGATGACAGCTATGACAAAGTTGAGAAATAGTCAGAAACATTGTTTTGTTTTTATAATTATCAGCAGGACGGTAACGGACATAGTTGTAGTATAATGTAAAGTTGTGCATAGCTGGGTGCAATGTTGATGTACAGTCCTTTGCTCTTTCATTTTTCTTTGGTTTTGACAAATTCATGTTCAAAACGTTTTGTATCATGAACACATTAATGGCAATAAACAATAAAGTTATGCATTATTACGTTTAGACACAATCATAAAAAGGATCACCACTTCTATTTTCTAAAGGTTTTTCTTTCAAAACGTGTGTACCGTGTGTTTCTCTCCGCTCTCCGTAATGCTCTTATAGTATAAGTTATACCGTAAAATCATTTGCCCCGCATAAAGATGGCTGTAGAGTTCCTGTGTGTTCAGGAAGTGTCGGTATCGGTGTGTGTGTTTACCGATTTGCTGAAGACATGGCCGAAAATACTGTAACGGTGACTGTTACATATGGTAATATTTGATGTATCTATTTCGAATACTTTGTTTTCAAGAATGATTTTAAGCTAATAGTATACCTTAGTTTAAAGATACTTAATGTTTGGTGTTTTTCTTAATTTAGTAGTCTTAACAATTAGCTACCTGCCTTTAACTCCTGTGTGAATGTCAAGTATTTCATAATAATGAATTAAATATGAATTTAGTTAACAAAGTAGGCGTGCGACAAAAATATGACACTAATTCGTAACGAGTATTTGTCTTCATTATGCAGAAAAAAGGGGTTAAGAAAACGCATTTCTCCGTTTTCTCCAGAATGGCTAGCCGTATCCTCCGAAAGAAGTCACGATCCGCGATTGTTTAGAGATATCATGCCGGGACTTTCACAAAGTTTAGTGGGACATGTTTTTTGTGTATAATAAATTGAAGATCTTCCGAGAAACATGTAAGGCATCTGAAATTGCATTTTTAGGGAGGTTCTGTAGGTGATTTTCGAGCACATTCTGTTGTTTGCACAGGTACTGCCAAGCACAGCATCAATGTCGCCGGGCAGGAGAACCAGGAGCCACTGTTGAAGGATTTGGCTGAAGCGGTCGCTGGCGTCACGGGGGTGCCGGTCCCCTCCCAAAAACTTATTTTCAAAGGTGAAAGAGTGACGGATAACAAATCCGTTCTTTAAAAACGTTTGACGTAGATCTGTCATAAAAAAATGTAGTCATTCTCTTTCTCACAACACGTAATAGCAGTTTCAGTTCTTCCACCTGTTTGTCCTTCATCCATTTTCTAACCGCATTATCCAGCAAGGTTGTTGGAGAACTTGAGTCTATCTTGGCAAACAAGGGAAGAAGGCAGGATACACCCTGTATGGGAAGCCAGTCCATTGCAAGACACCCACAGACACAAACACATACTGGGAGGAAACCCCACACAAATACAGGGAGAACATACAAACTCCACACACATAGCACCCCAGGTCTGGAATTGAAGGCAGGGCCTCTGCACTGAGAGGCAGCAATGCTAACTACTGCGTCACCATGCCACCCTATGGTCTTTTCACTATGTGCAATTCAAATACAATTAGCAAAATTAAAGTGACTGTGATTTTTTTTCATGAATTACAAACATAAGGACAGTTATAAACAGGAGGAAATCATTTGGCCCATCTCGCTTATTTGTTTGCTGATCCAAAAGCTTAGTTTGTTTGTTTCTTGTAGGATGCCAGGAAGCCTTCTTTAACAGCATGTGTGGCAGAATGTTCCGGATACCTAACCCTAAATACACACTCTTCACATTTCTGTTATTGTCATTGGGTCATTGGTCACTGTGAACTCTGACTTGCGTTAATACATGCCAGTACTTCTGTGTCTTTGTTTATTATTGATGAGATTCAGTTTCTTTAATCTGTCTGCAATTCATTTAGGGCCAGGAACCAAATGTTTCCCTTTAAGCTTTTGAAGTGGCTATGCCCATTTGGTTACAGGGGAACCAGAATTGTACAGAGTATTCCAGGTGGGATTTCGGGTTTTCCATACATGAAATTCTAAACATGTTTTTAAGATAGCATTATCTAAATATATCCCTTACCTTAGTCAAATACTACTTGAAGCCAACATGGTGTTAATTTAGTTTTGTCAGTATTAATTATAACAGATGAATCAGAGCTGACACTTTTAACAGTTGTTTCAGTTCCTAACAATGAACTCACTGTCCAGAATTGGGTCTATCTATCAAGTAAATCCTGTACCAAGTGTATTGGCAGCTGGGCATGAGTGACCCACCCGTTTCTCAGGGCTAAATATAGACACTGAGGAGTTAGAGGAGTTTTAAAATTTAGCTGCCACATCATGTAGCCTCTTATGTGTGAGTGATAGTATCTGTTTACTTGTTTTCACAATGTGGGTCTCATTGCCCTCTTTTCAGGGAAGTCTCTAAGGGAGATGGACCAGCCCCTGTCAGGCTTTGGGATAAAGCAGGGGTGTAAACTCATGTTGATAGGCAAAAGGGTAAGAATACTTCTCTTATCTGGCATCTGGTGGTTTCTTCCATATCAGATTGATTGAACATGATTCCTTGATTGAACATGGGTTAAGTCAACACGTCAGCTGTTTTTAAGATCTTGATCTTGTGTGCCATATAAACCCTGCAGAAATCAAGCCATAGAGACCTTGAGCTTCAGATGATGGTACAGTGATTCCTAAGAAACTGCAGTATTTCATTGTTTACTGTTTATAGATTTATTTGGCTAATTCTTTTATCCAAAGCAACTTAAATTTGTACTCATACAGTTGTTATCTTTACAAATGAAGTACCTTACTCAAGGGTATAGGTGTCTTACTAAGGATTTTGAACTGAATAGCTAATTTCAAATTTCAAATTTCATTTTGGTTCCAGCAGACCAAGTCTATATAGCCATGATGAAATGCATAATTCCAATCAAATTATGTAGAAAGTTGGTGTCAGTTTTTTTCTTGAATACAAATTGTAGCAAACTGTGATTTCCTCTTTCTAGAATAGCCCGGAAGAGGAGTTGGAATTGAAGAAACTGAAAGATATTGAGAAGTCGGTTGAACAGACTACTAAGAAGCTTGAAAAAGTGGATGGTGAGCTGACAGGCTTGAAGAACGTGAGTAGTATTCTGAGTTTGGCTGTGGGGGGGCCTGTACAAACTTGTGATCAATCATATTGTTGTTCCATTTTCTGGCAGAAAGTTTAAAACATAAGACTGGTGCTTCCCATGGAATTACACCATATTTGTTGAAAGTAAGCAAACACCCCTACATGAAGGAAGGAACTTTCCTGCTATTCTGTAGTATTTAACAGAACCCTGAACTGCCAGTTAGGCTTATTACGTGATACAACACAAGAACTTCAAAATACACAGTTGAAAACAGTAAAGAATAAAGCAGATATGGTCAAGGTACTCAACTGCATTGTGTCGTGGTCATCGGGTCTCAGTTAATTAAAATCATTGAAGTCGACTACTCTTTGATATCAGACTTTTAAGTGTCAGCAGTGGTAATAAACCTTTTGTGTATTCAGAATAATCAAGAGGAAGTTTAAAGTAAATTATAGTATTAATTCTAAAGGTTGTGTTTACTGTTTTTACAGTATTTTACTTTCTTATTGTCCTTATGTTTTATTTTTCTATGCAGGGCTTCTTGGCAAAGGACCTACAGGCTGAAGCTTTGAACAAGCTTGATCAGAGAGTGAAAGGGGCAGCTGAGCAGTTTATGAAATTTCTGGAACAAATGGATGCCATGGTACTCTAAGAATGTGAATATGAAGCCTAACTGTATTGTTGTCCACCCAGCACATTGTATTTCAAGATCACAATTTAACCCACATCCAGAGCGTGCAAAGGCACTCCCAGTAATACAAGAAACTAATATTAACTCCACAACTAGAGCGTTTGTAGGAATGAGGACTGAAAAGAGGGTGAGGTAGAAAATATATGAATTCATTTTTAATTAACTGTAAAAGAGGGAGGCTCTAAAAAGCACATGGTCAACTTAATGGCAGCTTTCTCCTCTGCTTTTATGCTGTTTCCTAGTTTTTTATGAAGGTGTTGTGTTTTCAACAGCCTCTGTCTTGTGTGATTACTGTAAGTGGCAGCTGCTGTCCGTCACAACTGTCTGCCGTTTCTGTGAAGATACAGCGAGAATCTTGTGTCCACAGCTCTCTTTTCTATAAACCCTTCTCTGCACTCAACTGAAAACAAAGTGTTTGAGCTCAACCACAAACCACTTTTCAGTTCCCATGAAAAGTCTTTCTTACTTCATAGAGACAGCATAAGTAATGACAAGACTGTGAGATTTTTTAAATGAAAATGTTAGAGATTGTTTCAGTAGTGTTAAATTTCTTTTTCAAATTTAGCCTGTGCACATTGTCTGACGCTTTATTAGTTATAATAATGAAGCAGACCTATCCGTATGTTTGCTACCCTGATAACTAAATTGCTGCAAGTTTTGTTTATTCTTTACAAGGAACTTTGTGAATATTTTGTAAAAACAGAGCAATTGGGGATACAGTTTTCAACTGAATTACAATTATAGAATATTCTGTCTGGACGATATGTAGAAACCGTTGATTACATTTTACAAAAGCACTTGCTTCAGTTTGGAAGTCCTTTCTGTGAAGTCGTAGCTGACCATAAGTGATAGTAAAGCATTTCAGTGTGGTGCACTACAGACTAATCATTAAACCTTCGCGTGTAGCCTTTTAAGTCTTTTTTTGTGTAGTTTCTGGTTTTGAGATGAATGAAAGCAAACATTGAAGAAAGCGGTTTATTTATTTTTTTTCAGACCTTTCCAGAGAATTTTAATGACTGCAGAATGAAGAGGAAAGGACTGGTTAAAACTGTGCAGGTGAGGTCTTCAGTACTGTTGTTGATTAATGTGATTACTGAATGAACAGGAATAAAATGCTGTGATGATCTGAGATGCAGTTTTTTCTTTTTTTTAACAAGAACATATTCAATCCTTGCTCGTTGATAGGAGATTTGTTGTCAGAAACTTTATCTCAGTCCCCCAAAGTGTTCTGCTTTGTACCCTGTGGCTACCAGAGTTGGCTTCTTCAAATAAACATTTACTTACACATTGGAGATTGAGCTCAACAACATATGACAGTTTCTTGTCATATTACTGCATTTAATTGGTAATGTAGGATGAGGCTAATATGTATAACCTGAAGACATTTCAGACAGAAGTCTTTTTTTGGCCAGTTATTTTCAGCATCTTTGCCCAAGATTTTGAATGTCTCACCTTCATTCTGTCATTTCCCCCCACTCCCACAGGCATGCCTGGCTCAGTGCGACAAGATAGAAGCTGGAATTTCAGATCACCTGGCAAAGATACAGTCAAAGAACTTGGCACTGGCTGAATAGCACGTCTAGAAAGCCAGCTCATAGTAGTTCCTAGTTCGTTGCTCTGTGAGCAATATAAACCACAAGAGAGTGCTCCTTGTTTGGAGTAGGTTATTTATCTGCAGTAAGCAACACATTAAGCATTTTTTTTTCATTTCTGGAAAACTATTACTGTAGTTCTTCAAAGACTAGATCAGTGGCAGGTAAACAATATGTGTCAGTCTGTTGTTGTATAAACATTTCCTTACTGTCAGTAAACCTCGAATTGATCAAGATGATTATCAGTCATGTAACTGTACTCCCTTAAACCAGCACTTCTTTGAAGTTTTGTTTTTATGGATGCCACAAACTGCTTATCTTGTGAAGCCCTGTACTTGTTCTTGTATTTCTGGTTGGTGTTTTAATTAAAGTAATTTCTGAGGTGTTTCCATTTGTGTGGTCATTTCTGAGTAAAATGGGGTCAATGTGACTGACAGAATTTGCTTTAAGTCTGGACTCCACCATTCAGTGAATCTGGGAAAAATATTGTCTCTGTAATAGCCCATCAGTTTGCAGTGTATGAACTACTGCTACGGCTGAAAAGCTGCCTTTTGCTGACTGAAGAATATTAAAAAGTAAACTAGCACAAAAAATCACAGATTATCCTGTCCAAATAGTATTTAGAAACATCTGACTATATTTTCCATGGGTTGGTAGATAGGCATGTAAAAGCCCACTACACATTTTTAATATTAATTAATTAATTTGTGTTGTAAAGGAGCTGCATCACTGAATCACTGCAGTGTTTCCCTGTTCTTCACGGAAGGGGTGCTGGATTGTGGATGTACAGTCAATATACAGTTTAAATTCTGGAAAAAAAGTTGCATAAACCTAAGCTTCTTTAATGCTAATAACAAAAATAACCAAATTATTTTTGGGTTAACATAAATTACAATTCTGAGAGTGAATGAAGTATTCATGTCTTGTAATGAGTTTCTCAGCCAAATTTTATTACGAACAGGCCCTTCTCTGTCATCTTGCCAAAACAGCTAAGGAAGAAGTATGAATGCTAGAATAGAATAAACACCCTTTAACACCACTGTGCGTCACCTGATAACAGTACTGACACACCTGCACAGATCACCTCTATTCAAAACTAGGCTCTTGAGTCCTGCTCTGTCTATGATGTCTGCAGCAGTGAGGTGGAATCTGATTCGAATTCAAGAAGAGAAACTGAGACCACTTGCTTTTCACATAAAAATAAATTTGGGGGAAGAAAAATGATTTACTTTTTAAATGCGTTTTCATTACTCCACTGTGGTATTATACAATAGTATAGAAAAGTAATTTTACAATGAGTTATTGTATAATTAATTGTATAATATTAAAACCCCATTAGTAATACATGTACTGTTCTTCCTTAAATAAACAACTGCTTATGCCAACTGATGCATAAGTGTACAGTATAATAAATATATGAAAAATATTCTTTGACTTGTAGCAACGATATAGTATAGTTCCATAACACAAGCAACATCTTACATATTTGTGGAAAAGTTGTTCTTTTTTTATCATTATGGTGTTTAATAACACTAGAAGTTAATTAATTTCCATAAAGGCATGTGATTTTAATTGTTGACTACAAAAATATTTTCTTTAATGTGAATAGTGAAAACTACCATGTGGCTAGAAACCCCATGAATCTGTACTGTTGTAGCAGTTAATGAAGTCTCAACACTTATTGTCAGTTTATTCAAACCCCTCCCACTGACACACGTGTGGAAAACATGTCTTCTGAACCCATGTCCATACTTTCCCTTCCCTTGTCATAACATCACCAGCTGAGTCTGTAGCTATGAGGAAAGATTTTCTTGTGTAGATAGTCAACTGTCTCCGCACGGTTCTGCAGCTTCTCAAACTCAAAGAACGGTATCTAGGATGGAGAAAGTGCATTTCATTTTAGAAATCAAAACTTGCTGGAATCAAATCAGTTACTGTTCTAGGGGGTTTTCCCAACATCTACAACAGACATACATGCAGGCTATTACAACAGCTGATTGACCTCTCTACATTCACCATGTTTAAACGAAAAGAGACTAAACGTTTTTGAAAGGTTAAGTCACTGATTAAAAAGACTCCAGAGCACAGTGTTGTCCCTTCATTTAGAAATCCATGCACATACAGGGGGGGCCAGAGCCAACTGTAAGGAAAGATTGAAGGAAAAATACCTGCACAACTTTGTAACCCAGCAGTTTCAAATGGCGTGTCTTTATGGCTTCTTTACCCAGCAGGTGATGAGTATTAGCACAGAACCTCTTTTGCCCATCAATGCACACTGCTATCCTGTAGTTTAAAACCGAAACAACATAAAATGTTACAAACAATAATTATGATTTGAAGAAGATGGAAAAAAAAGCTTTTCTGCCATTATTAAATTATTTAAATTTTCATTATTCGGGACAATGTATGCCAAGTGATTACAATGAGTGTAGGATCACTGAGTAACAAGACTACTGAACACAGTTTTATAAGAAACACAGCTGGAATTAAATTGTTTACTGTTCTAGCCCAGGCAAGTCAAGGCAAGAGGGTTTTCAAACAGCTACAATACAATACAACACACAGACATGCAGATTATTACAACAGCTGACTGACTTTTCTACATTCATTATGTTAAAAAAAATGAGGAGATTAAAAGGCTCCAAACTCTATGATTAATACATGGAGTTATACTGGGATTGTTTGACTCAATAATTTGCAATACAGCATCACTTAATCACTTAAAGCTCACAATACTGGATATTACTAAGAAATTAAGAGTTACAACACGATAAAAATGTTTACAACTTTAAACTGCCTTACATAAAACAGAAAGTTCTGTCAGCTTCTAAATTACCAAAGGAGCAGTAAAACAAAAAAACGGATGCACAAGTCTGAAAATAAGAATGTGCACTCAAATCCTAAACATTCGTCCTGTTTATTCTGTAACTGCAGCTAGCAGACTTGCCTCTTACAGACATCTTCATGGTGGCTGGCTGGCAGCACATATCCTTCCCCGTCCAGTTTGAGTTCCACATCTGTCAAGACGCAAATATTCAAAATTTCAAATAACACCAATTTCAATCAATTTTTGTTGGGTACATCTGCAATGGATAAAAAAACTACACAAGCTAGGTGGTTGTCCTGATGCAGCCGGGGGCAATACAACTGATAATTTCCACCCTTGTATCCGACGGGATTATTCAGTGTATGATTATATCTATTCTGCCTGATACTTCCACTTGTTAAACACTTTTTATAATTGAGCTTTTCTGTCGCAGCTTCTTTTCTCTGTGCTACAATAGTATACAGACTTCTCACCAGGTTGCCATTGTAAATGCTAATTTGTTCTCAACTGAACTATCTGGTTAAATAATGGATTATTGTAAAAAGGATGAATATTACTGTGACTTCTGTTTTAGTTTGTTCTGTTATATATTATGGAGTAGGTTCAAACATTTCAGACACAAGGAACAAAAAGTTGTTTCAGTTCCCTTCATTAAGCTTTCTTTTTACAATGTAGGGAAATACAATGCACACAGAATTAATTTTACCACTGAGGTGTTCAACATACAGTATGAAGCAGTAGTAACTGCTTAAACCACAATTTGACCTGATTTCACTTCTTCCTCACCATTAAAAGAAAATAACCAGGGGGGGCCCAGGCTGTGCTGGGGCTCTGCATTAAGTTTGTACGCTGATATCAGTGTGGAATTTGTATCTTCCCACCCACAGTCCAAAGGCATACTGGTACGTTAACTGGCTTCTAAAAGAACCTGGCCTTGCTGTGGCTGTGTCTGTGGCTGTGTCTGTGGCTGTGGCTGTGTGAAGAAATTTTGGCTTAACCCATTTGGTTGAGGGCTGACCTCACAAGGTGGTCCCCTGCAGAGTGAGGCGTGACCAAGAGGTGGCTGCAGGGATGAAGATGTGATGCAGGAAGGATGAAAAAAAAAGATGTATGTGAGGCAGAGAAGGGACTTATATAAAGTATTCCTAATGGTTTCAGGTAAGGAATTGACGACCCCCACGAGTGTGAATTACTGACAGCTGCGTCTGACTGAGCTTTGGCTGTTGTCAACCCTCCCCAACATTCATTGTAAACTCCATTCGTTTGTCTAATTGGCTTATGAAAAAAATTAGCCCTGATATGACTGTATGTGTTTATGTCTGTGTGTGCTCCGCGATGGCGATGGGTGTGTACAGCCTTGTGCCCACTGCTTGCCGAGTCCCCACGACCCTGTACTGGATACCAGTTATAGAAAATGGATGGATGGATGGAGAAAATGCCAGCGAATTGTTATATATAACTTTTGGAGCACTCATACCTAAAGTATAGCAGTAAGGCGTCAGCACATTTGAAGCAAAGTAGTCACGGGCCCCGAGGAGGTCAAGGAGTCCCATTTTGACCCGATTGTAAAGGTGCCTGTCCACTGGCGTCTCAAGGGAGCGGCCAGAGGTGAGGAACGATTTCACACGGTACTTGGGAAGGAGGTTAGGACCCTGCAAAAAAAGAGTTAAGAGACTCTGTTTTCAACCTTGCGATTTGTTAACCACCACTGAGGGCACGAGGCACAGAGAAGTCAGACACTAGTTATTCCCTGTTCTTTGAATATTCTTTCACTTCTATCATTCCAGTTGGTGCCAGAATGGAGGATGATTCTCTACAGAAGAGCAAGGATACCACAGTTTCCCATTACTCGATAAATGATTGTGTAGTAAAGACAACCACAAAAGGTTAAAGGGTCCATCAGGCCCTATAGATATGAAATGTGAAAATAGAAAAGACCAATATATCTACCTATTCAAGTACAGGAAGCTTTATTATAACCAGTGGAAGAAAAAACACACTTGGAAGCTGCATTCTGCAGATGTACCTCATAAAAGGGGCACTCCAGTTTCACTGTCATATAGAGCTGGGTCAACTGTGCAAGCAGTACCCTGTCCAAGCCAGTGCCCTGCTCTGAAAGAAGATCAAAGAGCAAAGATTAAATAATGAAATTAAAATCATTTTAACAAACATGGATGAGGCTAAAAGATCATGATACTGCATATCATATGCTGTACACAGATCATATACACTTACTTGCTCACTCATCACACAAAAATCCACGCACCTCACACCATAAACAATAAAGAAGTGAAGCAGAAAAAGCTTGTGTGACTTTAATTCTGTGTGTACTGGAATTAATGAACTGAAGAGTTTCTAATTAAAATGTTGATCAGTCACTCTGATCACTGCACACAGTAGCATTTGACTACTGAGACTGATGTTGGTTTCAAGCATACACAATCCCATCAAGTGCTACAGTTTACACACTTGAAACTGAAGCTATAAAATGCAGGCAATAGCACACATTGTTATGTGCCGCTTTAAGATGAGAACATACACTTAAAATATATGTGAATAATGAAGTCTCAAAATAAAAGGAAAATACCCAATCCACTGACTTCTTCTTAAGCCTAATTATAAATAGTTCAGGTGGGTAGCAGCATCAGCATGAGAAGCCTGCAAAGGAACAAGTAATGGGTTTATTCCCTGCTGAAAGGAGAAGAAAGAAAACAACATTTCGGCTGTGGAGCCTTCTTCGGGTGACACCCTGTAACTCACAACTGGCAACCCACTGAAGCTCGGCAGGTGTGAGCCTGGTCAGTACCTGGATGGGAGACCTCCTGGGAAAAGCTAAGACAGCTGCTGGAAGAGGTGTTAGAGTGGCCAGTAGGTGGTGCTCACCCTGCAGTGTGTGTGGGTCCTAATGCCCCAGTATAGTGACGGGGACAGTATACTCTAAAAATGCGCCATCTTTCAGATGAGACGTAGAACCGAGGTCCTAACTCTCTGTGGTCCTTAAAAATCACAGGGTGCTTCTTAATAAGAGTAGGCATGTTACCCTGATTTCCTGGCCAAATTTCCCATTGGCCTTTACCAATAATGGCCTCCTAATTATCCCTGTATGATAATCTATCAATTGGCTTTATCACTCTGCTCTCCTCCCCACTGATAGCTGATGTGTGGTGAGAGCTCTGGCGCACTATAGCTGCCGTCACATCATCCAGGTGGATGGTGGTGGTGGAGGGGTCCCCATTACCTGTGAAGCACTTTGAGTAGAGTGTCCAGAACAGCGCTATGTAAGTGTAAGTAATTATAATTATTACCACATTCATCAGAGCCCATAGAGAAGACCTTACCTTCCAGCTGCTGAAGGAAATAGGGATTGAAAACCTTGGCCATGAAATTCACAGGGAACCTTTCGATTAGGGTGCAGGAGTGGAGCAGGTTGAGTAGTGTGCGGGGCTGGAACTGAGAAAACTGTGTGTGCAGGATCCCCTCCACCTTGTGGAAGAGCTCCCCGGTGTTGGGGGGCAGGTACCCCAGCTTTCCAAAGGGCATGATCTGCCGAGCAATCTGGCTGGTGTTGTAGGAGTCTGCCCTGTACACGAAGCTCTCTGCCACTGTATCAAATATAGCTTTGGAGAGGATCTGCCGGCGTCCGCAGTACTGCATGACCTTGGTGATGGCCTCGGGGTGCATAGTGTAAGTGTTCCTGGGCACATGTCGCTCCAATGCTTCCACAAAGTACTGGTCGCTGTGGCCAAAGTGCATGAGGGCTCCCAGCACTTCCACCAGCTCACTGTCTGTGAAACGGTGGACGTGCTTCACCGAGTGCTTGCACAGGCTTATAACCAAAGGAACGGCCCGGGTTTGGCTCAGGACAACTAAGGCATTCAGTATCTGGCTGATAGAGGCTGGTTTCAGCGAGGCAGCTCTGGAAAGGGCGTAGCTGTTCATGGAGTTCAAGAGATGCTGGTATTGGCCTCGCTCCACGATTCCAGTCTGCAAAAGGCCGTAGACCTGCGTCAACTCCTCCAAGCTCCATTCCTTTACCTCGTGTCCTTGTATCTGCTCCATGACTTGCTTTAGCATTACAGATCTAGATCCCTCCAATGCTAAAAGTGCCTCAGCCAAAATGCAGAGGTTTCTGATGGGCATCTGTCCCCTGTCCAGCCGACGTTGGCTCTCAGAGACCAGACGCACCATCAGGGAGCTCCAAGGGTCAACGTACAGTCGCGTGCAGGCGTGAAGGGCAGACAACAGCCCGGCATCTGTCAGCCTCTGGGAATCGTGCTCAAACTGGAAGCAGACTGCCTTGAAGACATCGTGGTCCAGAACAGTTGGGTCCTTCAGCCCACACTTGTCATGCTCCAGAGCAGCGATCGTCTGCAGAGCCGAGGCAGCCATCGTGTCAGACATGCTTTTCAATGAAAGAAGGAGTCTGAACACCTGCCTGCTGGACGAGCAGTGTCTGAGGTGATCTGCAAACGTCCGCTCATCCATGGATGTGGATTGCTGGTCGGTGAGCCTAAACCCATCTGAGGCATCTCCATGCAGACAAACAGAGCCCCCAGCAAAGTACACTTGATCCCTGATGGTCGACAGAGCGGCTTTTTGATGATCACGCAGGAATCTCCTGCATCCTTGCCCTGTCGTGCAACAGCTGGAAGGTCTCCGGAGGCACACTGGGCACGGCAGCTGCCTGTAGGAGCTGGCGCATCGTGAAAGACATGCTGCACTGTGAAGGAAGCGAAAGTGCTGTACTGCTCGAGTCGCCCTCAGACACCCCTGCAGAAACCTGAAAGCCATTGCATGCTGGAGAGCTCATCAGCAGGTACTGGACCTCCTGTGGGGACATGAAAGATTAAACATTGGTAAAATATATTGTCTAAAACTGTTGAAATACATATCTAAATTACTGGTAAAATAAATGTATCCTTGTTTGACACAGATACAATTATGATTCATGTACTGACAGAGTCTAACACATACCGACCTGTTACGTGAGCTTATTTACACTGGTGTCACTGTCAGTTAGCATTTTCACCTGTATCTTCTCAGGACGTTTTATTATACAGAGTTCACAAAACCCGCACCCTGAATACTCATGTGCTACCTCTATCAAATCATCTTTGTTTAATTAAATACTGGTTTCAATGATTTAAATATTTCTTACACTTAATTATCCCCTGTTGATAAAATCATTGCAGTACTCAAATACTACATTCCTATACTGGACATGAATTCAAGGATAGGAACAGGTGTACATAAAGTAGTAAAACACTATAGTACAACAATAGATATCACACTTTCTGTTCACAGATTCATTATGTTAAATCTAGAAAAAACGCTTTTCCTCTTCACTTTTGCACCAAATGATCGAAAAGACATTTCGATTACTACACTTTAGAAAAACCTTCTAAATTTAAATTTTAATTATGTACCCCACAGTCAGCATCCTCATATCCTTTTAAATAAAATGTATCCAAATGTATAAATGTGTCCTTTTTCTAATCAGCGTGTAAAAGCAACACACATCTTTGCCCTTGTGCATCTAGGCGGAAGTGAATGTTAGACATACTACCGCGTTATGATCTAAATGGTTGCTCTTTGCCAGTACATTTAACGGTTTATTGAAATAATAAGACTTGTTAAAGTACAAAAATAAGCAGAAAATGTTTACCTTTCAGATATTCACTACACTTCAGGAAATACGGTTGAAAAGCAGCGGCATGGTTGTGTAATGTTGTTACAACTTCCGAGTTCGGCGACTCAAGCCGGTATTTTTGTACCGTAAAATCCAGTAGAATGGCGCAATTACTTTTTGGGTGAACTTGTGCGCATAAAAAACACACTATTGTAGTAGATCCATTATGAGAAATCCATTTATCTATATGGAAAGAAAACTTTAACAGAGACGGTGAGTAAAGCAAATCCCAGCCCCGCCAAGGTATGCCAGACCAATGCAGACCCACAAAGTATAAATAGTTAATGACAACCCAGCATACCTTTGGAAAGTGTAAGAAACCTACTTTTCTTCTCTCACCAAAACATTATTATCATTATCCTCATAATAATAATAATAATAATAATAATAATAATAATAATAATAATAATAATAAACTTTATTTGATATAGCACCTTTAAATTTGGCTTCTCAAAGCGCTTTACAGTATGACAACAACAAGGAGACAAGAGATGGGGGTACTGAATACAATAGGAGCAGAGGGGTAAAGAACAGAACCAGTTAAGTAAAGGCTCTTCTAAAGAAGAAGGTTTTGAGTCTGGGTTTGTAGGAATTTAGAGAATGTGATTCTCTGATATCCATGGGGAGAGAGTTACAGAGCTTTGTGCATAACAAGAGAAGGCCCTGTCACTCAGAGTGTAGATGGGCTTAGGAAACAGATAGGATACCAGAATTAAAAGGGTGAAGGTCGCTAGGTAGGGAGTAGGATGATAGTAGTTCAGACAGATAGTGAGGTGCCAAGCCATGCAGAGCCTTATAGGTGAGCATTAGAATTTTGATGTCGACACGAAACTTTACTGGAAGCTGGTGCAAGGACTCCAGGATGGGAGTAATCACTTGCACTAGACCTGGTCAGGATTCTGGCTGCCAAATTTTGGACATACTGCAGTTTGCTCAATGTGGATTTAGAAACCCCAGTGAGTAGAGCAGTACAGTAGTCAATTCGGGAGAGGACAAATGTCTTGATCAACTTTTCAGCAACAGTTAGTGATAACATAGGATGCAATCTGGCAATATTTCTAAAGAGAAGGAATGATGTTTTGACAATTCTTTGAAAAAGCGGGTCAAATGTCAAGCCTGAATCAAATATCACCCCCAAGTTTTTCAATTTAGACTGAAGCTCAAGTACAGTACAATCCAAAGACAGGGTTAAAGCATTGGCTGAACAAAGTTGATGGGAGGTGCTAATAAGCATAACTTTAGTCTAGTCACAGTTTAGATTAAGGAAGTTTTGAGTCATCCATGTTTTAATGTTGGGACATGCAATTAGAGAGAATAGAGACAGCCACATCAGTGTCAGGTTTGATATGGATGTAGATCTGAATATCACCAGCAAAGAAGTGATATTTGAGGCATGCGATCTTGAAAGCTGACCAAGTGGAAACATGTAAATGATGAAAAATAGTATCTACAACATAGCTTCTTGTTGCTGAATGACATTACTCCCACAGGGTATGGCTATAGATACAAAACTCAATTGTTTGAAGCAGTGGTTTAGCACTCAGTCATTGCTTCGATGTTGGTCTAAATATAATTCTTCTGCAGAAGTCCACTCCATCTTTTGACTTTGGTTTTTAACACTAAAGATAGTTTAGGTTTACTTTAAGCCTTCTACTTGGCTTCTACCTGAATGTTCAGAGCTACAGTATTACCACTGCTTTGCCCAGCATATGCTAATATTTTATTATATATACACAGTACAGTATAACTAGACATGCTCCACCACTACTGAATTCTTCTGGAGTATTTCAGCATGTGTTATTGTTGTTGGTAATTTACTATTCTTATTACAATTACTGTGTAAAAGCTTTAGTGCCTCATCAATATTTATCTAGATTATCCAAGGACCAGTGCCATCTGCCTTCATTGGTTTATTACCAAGAACCGGTTTATAAAACATGGCTTTATTTAAATCTGATGTGGTCCAATACGTATGACAAGATATGCATGTTTGCTGCTCTTACCAATTACTGTCTTGCGCAAGGCAGAAACATGCTTCCACAAGTGTGAGCAAGATCAACACTCCTGGTTTCTGATAGCTGCAGCTCTTTTCCAACACAACAATCTCTGTCCTTCTGGGACTCCCTTTTTATTTCAGATATCAGAGAATTGTAACCACATGATCTGCATTATTGATCACACAATCAAGGAAGAAGCCACTGCATTGAAGATTTTCACAATTTTTTAAACAAACATGTTTAGCAAATTTATATGGCTAATAGCACACGGCATTGATCTCGACTGAGGTCCACTTTTTAAAGGCACAGGAAAGGGCAATTGTGTATCGGCTGAGCACAGCTCTTTAACATTAAGTTAAGTCCAACCTTACACACATGGTTCAACTGTAACAGTTCTGACACCTTTTTCTTTTTATTATAGAAAATAAGAGCTAAACCTAGCATGAAGTGTCCACCCTGTAATATTTTCCATATTTTATACAAAATACCTTAATATTTAAATATGCACACTTAACTCATTTCCAGCAATGAAACGTAATTCTATTAGAACATACAAGAGAGTCCTTACTCAAAAGGCCATCATCTGTGAAATGTTCTTGTCCATCTGTAATGTTTCCTTTAAAACTGAAAATGGCACAAAAAAGGCTGCATTTTTTTCTCCTTTGTGCACAAACATGTTCTCCATCTGTTGTCAATTACAAAACTCTAGTAAGAGCATGTCCGCAACAGAGGTTAGGAATGAGGGAAGCAGTAACTTAAGACTCATGCTTTAACGCGTGTGCATACCACTGACAACCACCTAATGCAATAACTGTGAAAGAACATATTTACATTAGTTTCCACTTTCCACAGAAGTCTTAACCAAAAATATAAAACCAATCTTTTTATTTCTTTTGCTCTGCTGTTCCCATCTGCCGGTACAATACCAGGGGTAACTTGAAACACAAAAATAAAAGCACATGAGTTGATAGCGATCTTTATTTCAAAAGTCTCAATTTATTACAAAATGTAAAAATCCAGCTACCCAGGTTCTAGGTTTGACAAAGGCTTTTTTTCCAGAGCATGTCTCCCGTTTTCACATTTTGTATGTTGTATTTTCCATAGCCACCCCAATCATTATTGCAAACTAATGGTCTACCTTCAAATTTATTACAGATGTGCAAATTTGCCAGAATGAATTGAAAGAGGTTTATAAATATGGTAAATAGCATCATTTTGCTTTTTTGTAGTCTTGTTTTAAAGCTAAGGCATGCAATGATGTTCTATTGGGTACAAATTGGAGACAAACATGAAATATAATATGAACATTTGCATATTTTTACAACCCACGCCTAATCATCTTTGTCCTTCGCCCCATGCTTTAAGATGCGTGTAAACTCCACATAGTTGAAGTTGCCCTTTTTGTCAATTGGTGCCTCTCTGAAGAGTTCGTCAACTTCCTCATCTGTGAATCTGTCGCCCATCGTGGTTAAAAGCTCTCTCAAGTAGTCTTCTTGGATAAAACCTATATTACAGAAAAGCAGAAGATAAAGATCCCAATAACCATAAGCCTCCATATTTTCACTGCTTTTATTTCAAGACATGTGTCAACAACAGCAAGGATTACACAATGAAAACAGACTAATTATCCAACTAATTAAAATGTGTCACAATTGTAGTCTGTGTGATCACAACTGAGAGATTACCAATATAAGAAATACAAGTGTTATTCTCTCTGAAAGCTCTCTTTGTAATTGCTTGATGGTTTTAGAGGAAAGTTTCAGGTTTAAACCAATTCATCTGAAGCTATACAAGTCTTATTCTGCGATCAACACATCCATTTTCATCCTCATTAGTTTTTAGATGTATGTGACACCCGATACTGAGTTTTACTGCACACATTGACAATGAGTTCTAATTTCAGCAGACAAATACCTTTTTAGCTAAAGTGCCCATGAAGATCCCTACATCCATCACAATATCCACATCAAGCAAATTCTACTGTTAAATACTATTGTTGGAATTTATAGTTCATCGAGGAAATATTTAAGTATAGAACATCATTAAACTCCCACTGCTGAAGCAATGTATACATTTTGGACATGTCTTAGAAAGCTGTTTTCTTCACTTATTTAGCTTGACTGGAGCAGCTTGGTAAATTAAGTTTCATCATGAGTTATATTAAGAAATATGTGATCTTGACGACATTTTTAATGATAAACCATCCATTATCATTGAAATATCGTGTAAACCAGCAATTCTTAACATCTGACACAGTATTATTTGCCTAGTCTTTTTACAAAACAATTTATAAAGTCTGACTTGTTTTCTGATGATCCATTAGTATACAAACTCAAGGCTATATTAGGTATGTTTGCACCCCCAGAGCACAGCAAAGCTTCATGGAAATTGTACACAATGGGGAACATCTGGTGCTCCTTACCTGTCCCTTCTTCATCGAAGCAAGCAAATGCATTCCTAATGACATCTTCAGGGTCTGTGCCATTGAGTTTCTCCCCAAACATGGTGAGAAACATCGTAAAGTTTATTGGTCCAGGGGCCTCATTCATCATAGCTTCCAGGTACTCATCTGTTGGGTTCTTTCCTGTGCACAGAACCAAAAAAAAGAACAGTTAACACTTAAAAATTGTCCCTAAAGGAACTGACTTGTGCACCACAGTGTCTGAGGTTTTCCTTCTACCTCTCCTCTAATTTACCTGACCTAATTATTAGCATAACTGGATCAATTTTTGGTTAAAGCACATCATCAGTTAGAAACCCAATTACTGCAGACAACAGACAGATCCCAGTAGTGAATTTGGTTGTATAACAGGTACAGGACATGCAGGATGCAGGTAGCAAAATGAATAGATATGAAATTGAAAAATATCATTTTGTCAAAACCACCTATAAAAAAGCAGTAAGAAGGAAACTGCAGGGAAACAAAAAGTCAACGAATATTGGGATACATAGCTAAAAATGTAGAATTCAAATCAAGGAATGTTAAAGTTTCACAAAGCACTGAAACAACATTTACAATACTGTGTACAATTTTGCTCACTGTTATCATTAAAGGCTTGCTATGGAATCAATCCAGAGGAGACAAACCAGTTACATCCCCCGTTTTAAAGAAACATCATACAATCCTACACTAACACACTACGAGAAATAAATTGTTTTAGTCTTGAACAAAGAAGACCTACTAGAGGACCAGAATTTTCCAAATCTACCAGGGCATAAAGTCAACCTAATGAGTCAATGCAGAATACAGGTAGAAATGGCAAGAAAGTTCATTTATAACTGAGAACATTAGAAATGTGTTTCAATGGGTAGCACAGCTGCCCAGCTGTGTTGCTGAAGTTGATAATATGTTGTTTTATTTAAGAAAACATGCGATGAGACCCCTGGATCAATAAGCTACTAAAAATCAAATAAGGGAGATACTGTATATCAAATGCCACACTTGCCTGTAAAATTACATTCTTAAATGTTAAGACAATGGAGTCTTAATCATAATAGCAGGTCAACTATAAAGTCTCTCCACATAGCAGATATCCAGCAGAAGTTGTTACACCTTGTTTAATTCTTATCACTATGTTGTTGAACTTGTAATCAAATGGAATCCCAATAATCAGCTTACTCTGTGTAGCCTTTTTTTAGAAACTGCTCTTCTATCTTTGTAGACAGTAGGTATAATTAGGTTACATTAATAAGCCCTCCTCTGCAGCCTGTTTCCTTCCAAGCCAACAAAAACCCAGCTCTAAGCTCTCCTCACCACTGGACCCTCTACGTGCCAAGAAATGAAGCAAATTAAATGCTTTGCAACCTAACCTGCAGGTCAGATGTATGCATTTGGTGAACTGCATCCGTTAATGCTGATGTGCACTGCCAATTAGCAGAATAGTTGTTCAGTCAGTAAGCAGTATTGCAATGCACTAAGAGGAAAATATCTGCATTTAATTTCTCTTCATATTGTAAAGGGTGTCCCGGTAAAAGTTGCTTTCTTTCTGTCCAGCCAAGATAAGCTCGCCTCAGGTATAATTACATGTGCATGCCCCCACAGTTGTGTAGTTTAGCCACTCATTCTCTCTTAAACAAGAAACCACATGCTGTAAACACAAGGTGGAGTACAATGCGGCAATGTTTTTATTCTTCTCTCCAAGAGCTACCCTTTCTTTACAAGCTTCCAGGACACTAGCTGAAGGAGAAGACTCATCATACTCCCTTCCAGCAACTTGTGGTGTAAAGGCTGACTACAGAAGATTGAGAGACCTCCCAATTTACAGCAGGGGTAAATGTCTTCAGCAGTTTTAGATACATAAGGATGTTAAGCACAGTGTAAGAAAAGGGCTGTGGTAAAGAGAGAGTCAGTTGTGAGATCAATGCCTTAAAAATCCATACTGGCAAGCTTTCTTGGTAATAAGGATACATTTTAGAAAGTCTGCCCCACAGACAAAAATAATCATTTTGGGCATCGTACTGCGGTACGATACTGTTTTTCTTTCCATGAAGGTCCATTGGCTCTACTTTTCTACTTACCAAGTGATGCCAGCATGTCATGCAAGTCCTCTTTGTCAATGAAGCCATCCCTGTTCTGGTCAATCATGTTAAAAGCCTCCTTGAACTCCTGAATCTGTGACTGATCAAACATGGCGAAGACATTGGAAGTCGCGCGCTGGGGGCGCTTCTTGGTGGTCTTTCCCTTAGCCCTTTTGCTCGACATCTTGGCTGTTTTTTCTTCAAAAACCTGCCGGTGGAGAAAAGAGTGTTACATCTTGCATAAGCATTTCAGAAAGAAATGCATTTCAATAAGCTATTCACTCCCGTAGCTTTTATTCGATATAAGTTCTTAAAGTGGCCGACACGGCATAATCCATGCATCTACACCTTAACCACTTTAACCAGCCGGAGCCTGTCCCAGCAAGCAACGGGCCCAAGACAGGATATACCCTGGATGGGACACCAGGCAATTGCAAGGCATACACAAACACAGACACGCACAGACTCACACCAGGGCCAGTTTATCAGAAGCTAATTTACCTACCAACATATCACACGAACACAGTGAGAACATACAAACTCCCCACAGATAGCACCCCAGTAATTGAACTCAGAGCCCAGGTGCTGTGAGGCAGCCATGCTAACCACTGTGCTGCCCCATAATGCATCTGAAATTATTCACTCTTAAAAACTTTCAACAAATACCAAGGAAAGCTTTCCATCATTTACACAAGCTCTTTCAGCTAAGGGGCTGGGCCAGAGCATTCAGTATTTTCAAAGGACACACAAAGCTTCCAGAGCCCTCTCTCTGCTGTTCAGAAAGATCCACGAGACTTCAGCTGCTGCCCCTACTCATTCTGACACATATTCATTTTTTTTATAAACCTTCTCACATGTCGCAGGCTCAAGCTACATTTAGATGCGTACCCCAGGATTATGCTTTAAATTAATTTCAGGGCCTACCAAGATACAGAGTCACAAGCTCAGATGTTCACTTATATTAAAACTTACTAAAACAATGACACAGCGTTAAAACCATTCAAGTCCCGAGAACTAAAATGAGATCTAGCAAACACTAGAGACGCCATTAGCACTAAAAACACTAGAGGTGAAAAATACAAGTCGACTGCTTAATGAATCGTTCTACTAATGAAGAAAGTCATGCCAGGCAAATACAATTTTGGCAACAACTCCCAAAACACATCAATCGTTGTACTATGAAAGGAAATGTGAACATGCTTTGTTGCTGTCTTTTCTCTTGGAGGCAGTAGGAAAGATTACTGCTGTGAGAACAGGTGTCCTCGCATTAGAAGCAATCCATTAGACCACATCAGCGCTGCAAAGACAAGTTATTTTAATAATCTTTCAGCCATGACTGACAGAATACAAAAGAAAGCAAAATGCCATGACAAACGGGTCTTTAAGCTACTTCAATCCAGATGAGGTTGAACTCTCAGTTCTACTGCTACCTGCTGAATGGGCGATTTATGTTATTAAACCTGCAACATACTGCACAATTTTGTATAATGTATATGTATTCTGTATATAAAAAAACCTCATATTTTGGAAGCAGGTGGCTTACTTAAACTCATAATAATACCCAACATACCCAATTGTTTTTTACCTTCGCCTTTTAAATATGGCACGCTATTTGAAGAAAATAAAATTAATAAACTGGGCAAAAGATGAAGTGTGACAAGTCAGAGGGTCACTCCAACCCATGTGGGCCTTTCACCATGCCCTGAAGAAGTGGCAAAAGCCAGTTTTGAAAGCCTACTGACTATTCACAGATCCTTATGACATACTCAGGAAAGGAAGGAGGAGTTGTCACTGGTAATGCAGTCACAGGCAAACTAGGCCACCAGCACAGGATGTGGAAGGCACAATCGGCCTGAACCCACAACTCGGAAAACAGTTGGGAGCCCATGCAAAACAAACAGAGCTGGTAAGCATCTGTAACCTTCGCAGTTTTAATGAGTACTGCCCGAGTGTTTCACAGTGCAATAGAGGCCACTGCCAAAGCCTGCACTGAGCCATCCGAGGAATTCAAGCAAGTCCCATCTTGCTCTGGAAACAGTTAAAAACAGCAGAGTAATGTATTCCAGCAGGGCCAGACTATAGCGCTGTTCTCCCCCCGTAGCTCAGCGAATGAACATGAACATTATTTGGAAAGGACATCAAATCAGATAATCTTTACAATTTCCATATACTCTGGGAGGCAAAATGAGTGCCAGCCACCCAATTAAAAGCACAGCAAAGTGAACTGGATTTGGAAGAACAGGACACCACACAATAAAACTGCCCCCAATCACCACTCCACTCCCCTCATTTCAACATTTCCCTTATCTACCCTTATTGCTCAGCTAGAATAGCTTACAATATCTTGAAAAACATTACCGGCCAGCAGACTCTCTAATGGAGAGGCTCACTCTTTAATGCAAACTCATCTCCTCATCAAAAAGCTATTTGAAAAAACATCACAATACCCTAATTATTCCAAGTGTTAGAGAGCTGTTTGTATCTGCTAACATCACCAATGATGTTAATCAGAGTCAGTCTGCACCCACTCTCTAGCAATTTTATATAAATCCCACAAATCTGGGAAACAAATAAGAATATCTACTTTAGAATTTAACCCCATATTCTTTTTGCTGAAGGGGAGTATAAAGACCCCAATAAATGACATTTTAGTAAGCCTATTACTTTATGTTTGGCTCCAGGAAAGATGCTGCTGACAAAGTTACAGACGTGTGGTTACTTACATACCAGTGCAGAGGGGTCGGTAAAAATTCAGCAAAGATTCGTGATCAACATTTTACGCTCTTAACTTTTAGCTTAATTTAGGTAAGAAAGTACCACTCGGGTTAAATGAACACACGCACTTCATACGCCTGAATATGACAAAAATATTTTTAAACCCAAGTAATATCAAGAACAAGCAACACCGCAATGCAAAGACAAAAGTCTAAAAATGCACTCTCACATCATCACATTACTCTCATCTCACATTACTGCTTATTAAACAAGACAGAATCCCGTGCCTACTACATGATAGTAAGAAAACGCAATATTAAAAACAAAATTAAAATAAGCATACCAATGCACAACAATCTGATCTCAGATGCTGAAGGCACTTTGTCAGACCTCCCGAGACAGAAGTTCAGTAGTTCACGTTTTGAGGGTACTGTATCTTTAACTGTTAGTTTGATGCATGGACTCTCTGAATAGCAATAAAAAGTATCGAAGACTACTTAGTTTGAAACAATACGTGCATCACTCTGCAAATTCCAAAGTCAGCACCACACCTAACTGTCTTTTATGTGAAGCCATCGGGCCTACCTGTCTCCGCCTATATTACGCACTGCTTATCTGCTCCGATGAAACTGCAGTGAGTTTACAACCGTGCGGTTGACCACGCAAATCTGATTCAATAACGTTTAATAAAAAACGATCCCTTCATAAAGCGACTAGTCCGTTTATTTCTTGCGCCAAAAGCAAAGATTTGCCGCAGGCAGATACGCAATTCAGTGCCCCAAGATCTTTTTCCTGTCTCCAACTGGGCCTCTCTGCACCGGTTTTGCCCAATGTAACAGGAACCTTGTAAAACTGCACCCAGACACCGTCTCCTTGGCTCCTTCGGCCTTAAGTCGCAAACGTTCACAAAACGAAGGCTCTACACATTCCAACCGTTCACTACAAGCATGCAAGAATGGATTTAGTACAACACAACGAATACCTGAAACCTATGAGATGATAAAGACAGGCAATCTGCTGCCTTGCTGCTTCGCCACCGCCCTTAACTTCCTGATCGTAGCTGAAAGGAAGCCCCGACTATACCACCAGCAACTCGCAGGGTAGGGGGGCGGCTACATTGTGCTATCCTATCTCACAGCGAATACGAAAAGGTTTCGTGTTTTTTTAAAACGTGTATATAATAAACCTTCTAATACACGTTGGATAAAATATGTGTTCATGAATCTTTACAGACAATGCGTTTCGTTAAATGCATAAAAAATGATACCCCTCATATTGAAAATTTGGTCTGACTCCCAACATTCTTATTTGCCTACGCTACACACTGAGAAATGTCCTTGTAAGGAAAGAGGCACCGAGTTTCCTGTACAATTATTGTTGTGTGTGACGCATCGACGGCAGCGATGCAACAGGATCGTGAAAGTGAAACAGTTGTATCAATGAAATATATATTTGAATGAGTTTGTAAACTGGATTTTGTCTTTAAAATGGTCTTTTATATTTAAATGCAAACCCCGAAGTTTGGCTTAGCAGCGTGCAGTGGTGGGTTAGGACTTCCGAAGGGTCGCGACTTGAGATTCAGGGTGGGATACTTTTGCTGTACACTTGAGCAAAGGAATTCATTCGAATAATTCCAGTAAATGTTGTGTAAGCTGAATTTTTGTAATGTAAATGAGAATATCAATTTACTTATCTTGCTAAGTAATGGGCTCAAGATTACCTGTAATATTTCAGATATAGGTATTCTCAGTCATCTTTTTGAGTTTATAGCTGAAGAAAACAGCAGATGGCGTCTATCAAACCAGTGTTCTGCCATAATTTACATAAACACGTCTAAACGCTCCCCCTCTTTTACAATGGAAGGTGTTGGGCCCATTCACCTACTTTGAAGAGCACCTTTTCAAGCCACTGGTGGGAAATTGGATATTTCTTAGGCTGAGCTGTAAATACTTATCTCACTAACTGAAGGGCTTTCTGGTTTGACTGCATTGTGATGCTGGTTTGCTTTCAAAAGAGAAACCACCTGCAACTGCATTGATAGGATAGGCGAGGTGTCAGCTTTTGACTAACCATGCATGGATGATGTGCAGCACAATTGTGCAGTTGCTGGCATTGCTGCCTCCCAGTGTTGGGGTCCTGGGTTCAACTCTGGACCTGGGGCGCTGTCTGTGTAGAGTGTGTTCTTCCTGTCTTCACATGGGTTTCCCATGGGTTTGCTCTGGTTTCTCACCGTCCAAAAACATACTGGTAATTTAAATTTCTCCTGGGAGAATTGGCCTGGATGTGAGTGTGCATCTGTCTGTCCTGTGATGGACTGGTGTCCCTTCCAAGGAATATCCCCCGCAACCCTGAAATGGAAGAAGCGCTAAGAGAATAGATGGATCCCTGGAGTCCTCAAGAACTGAAGATCACTTTATCGGCCATCTACAATGTCTTGTATTAGGAATTTGTCTTTTCGCATACCCCCACTTGCTCTCCATGAGACACAGACAGGGAGAGAAGCTTGGGGTCAGAGTGCAAGGCAGGGTCAGCCATTTATACAAGCACCTCTGGAGAAGTTGGGGTTAAGGGCCTTGCTCAGGGGCCCAATGGAGTAGGATTCCTCTGCCAGCCGCTGGATACAAACTGGTAACCTTCCAGCCACTGGCGCAGATCCTTAGCCACAGAGCCACCGCACCACACTGCCCTAGGTGGGTCAACTATCACCATCCTGCTTCTGCAAGCACATCTTTCGATTTCATCTTGCCTTCCTGCAGGTCTTGACCATTTCTTCTCTCCTGGGAGGCTCTCCAGTGTTTTTGTAACCCAGGAATGATCTATTCTTTTTGCTCATGCACTAAACATTCATTGACATATTAATTTAACCTCCTATGACCCATTCCTGTTGATTTGTTTTGAGTCCCTTACTAGTTATTACAAGCACACGGCATAACATACAGTTTGTCTTTGGGATGCCTTCTATCATTGTATACTGAAAGGCAATTAGAATTGAACATATATTTTGGTTCCAGTACTTATTGCATTTTTAATGCTGTTCAGGATATATGCTTAACACTGTGAGAAAGGATATGAATACAAAGGGGTTATAAGGCAGAAAAGTAATTCATATTTCTTCTTTTTTATCAAATTTTGTTAGTTGTTTTCATGTGCTATCAGTGAGTATTATTGTGTATTTTTGTGAAAATGACTCCTCTAGTACATTATCTACAATTGTCAATAATGATGATATCTGTCTAGTGAAAATATTAGCCAAAAAAAGAGGAGTAAATGTACTGGATGGATATGTAGAATTTATGAAGAGCCCATATGTTCAAGATTTTCTTTACAGGTTATTTACAAACGTTTTTCTCAAAAAGCACTGACTTTTTCAAATCATTGCTTTTTTCCATGGCTAATATGCACTGCATTCAAGACAACAATGTCCCTTTCCTCGCCTGATGTTGAAACCTTTAGGTATTTATCCGTCATAGCTAGTTCACATGCTTTTTTATTTTTGCTTACTGTCTGTAGTTATCCATTCAAAGGACAACGACACAATCTCTTGTAAATGTAAAAAGATTTTCCTTCTGTGTTATTAGGTGTATAGTTAAAACTGTAGACTAAAGCTTCTTGAACATTCCGTTAAGGGAGTAATGGGGTAAACTGACACATGTCCCAGTATAGATTATGCAGTAATTACTTATAATTAGACAGTGAGAGGAGTGTTTGTGAAGGAGTCCTTGAAAAAGGGGGTCAGAGAAGATAGATGGAAATCTCTGGGTGTAATGCTGGAAGCCAATTTGAAGATCTGTTACAGAGAAAATCCCAAACAGAGGGGTGTATGGAATACATGACTCATCATTGACTAAAATGGACCATGGCAAGACTTTTGCCTTTGCTTATAGAGACTGTGTCCACAGTAAACAAGTCTGAGTGCACCAAAAACACTTGTCTGAGGTGATATTGCAGTTAAGAGCATTTTTCCATCAGCTGTTTTAGGGGGATATGAATGTGGTTTGTCTACTTTCAGATAAAATCTGAAAACATACGTATATATTTCAGACACTGGTGTCTGAACGTGGTTAATCTCAGATGGATCTAATAACCAACATATTTGCATAAAATTGAAAGACATTTTGTGCTCCTGGTATGAAAACAACCACAACCAAAAGCAGATAATACAATATACTGCTTAATTTCAGACAATGATCAAGCTATATTATATAACTGCATATCCTTCAATCAAAAATAATCAAAGAGAAATTGTGTAGTTCTTTTTCCTTACATAACCTCCAATTTACAAATGGAGTATATAACAGAAGTTCAGGAATAAACTTAGACCCTAATCTCAGACACTTCCACTCCCCTACATATACTCTCGCACCCAGGACTTCCTTCATGTATGTCTCTTACATTTCCCCTGCCTCTTCATCCACAGCTTTGTAGCGACTCCCTTACCCTAACTTGCAATAGTAACAGAGGTTTGGGCAGTCTTATCCCAATGGCTAGATGCCATTCCCCTCTCTAGTCACACCAAATACTCTATACAGTACATATTTTGTCCCTCTTTTGCATTCATTTTGATCTAACTGAACTACTGAGGTATCATTTTGTTGTCTAGAACTGCAAAGTGAGACTCACCTTATGTGTATAGCATACCAAACCGCTCTTTATTGAAGAGGTTTCTGGATTTCATGAAACCGTTAATAATCAAATAGGCTTTTTTCCAAAGAAAGTGTTACTGTACTTATTTCTATCAGCTGCTGACTGTTTGTTAGAGTGTGCTTCATGTTTAAAGTTGTAGATATGTCTTTCATTCTTCTGGCTGACACTGAAGCTGTAGGTGGTTCATCTACTTCTCCTGAGACCCTCCTGACTGAAAGGCTATTGAACTGGATGTCCCTTTTCCTCCAACGTTTAAGTGAACTTTTTCATGTAGCAAATTCGTTTCTCTCTCTAGAGGTTCATGTGTTGTCAACATCATATTTTGACAAATTCAAAGCAGAAAGCTGAATGTTGAAGTAGATTTTGCCTCTTTTTAAAACTTTTTTAAGTTTTTTAAATTTTTTAAAAAGTGGCACATGGTGAGCCTTGCTGCCTTGTAGTGCTGGGGCCCTGAGTTCAATTCCTGACGTGCTATTTGCATGGAGTTCTTATGTTCTATCTTGTGTGTGCCTGGGTTTCTTCCAGTTGTTTCAGTTTCTTCCAACAGTCCAAAGGCATGCTGATTTGTTTCTAACAAAATAAACTTTATTTCACACTAGAACTCTTACAAAGAGTACACACACTAACAGGCCATGTAATCTCTACTATATTACAAAAGCAAGGGTGATTGTCTTTTTTAATCTGAGCAAGTGGATGCTGGGACTGGCTTTGCACAATGAAACAGTCCCACCAAGCCCTACCGCTTGCTTTTATCCAGGCCTTTTTCCCTGTCCAGGCTCTGACACTGCAGTTGTCCAGTCCTCTGCAGGAGCTCAAAGGAACAGGGCTTTCCTCCTTGGTCCCTGTACGGAACCCACAGTCCCTTCCATCACTCCTTTGACGTCGAGAAGCCCCATTTGGCGATGTTGCGCTTCATCCTTCCCTGTGTTGTGCTAGATGAATGTTGCCTGCATTCCACAGTTCTTGTTTAATTAGGGACACCAGCAGCCAAAGCAAGTATTGTGTCCCTTTGTCCAATCAATGGGACCAGGTGTGAGTGTGTGCTTATGTTTGTGTTTGTGTGTCCCCGGTTATGGACTGATGTCCCGTCCAGAGTGTATTAAGTCTTGCGCTCATTGTTTTAATGGCTATGACCCTGGCTCCCCAGTGACTTGTATTGCATTGAGCTGTTAAAAATGGATAGATGGAAAAGGAGTAATTTAGGTATTGAATATAGTGGTATTGTGTCAACACTTGTATAAGGTTACAAATAAGAAAATCCCATCCCATTCTATTCTATATTGAAAGAAAGGGGTGACCACCATTCGGCTGTGTGGCTAGAAAGAAGCCACTCCTTGACATGGGACAATGCCAGCTGAGAATTTAGAAGTTAGAGAGCTTCTGTTCCAGAACAACTGAGCTTTCCAGCCCTAACCTGAACTTGTTTCCCCTCAAGGAATTGG